TAATGAATAGTCAGAAAGTCAACATGCTTCTCCCTAGTTGTGGGAGTGTGTGTGTGTGTGTGTGTGTGTGTGAGTGAGTGTGTGTGCGTATGAGAACAAAGTGGCAATTTCAACAGTGGTGGAAAGAATTTGTTTCTCCAAATACGATTTATTCTAAATAGACATTAAACCGCATTCTCTACAGTTTTAACTGGGTGTGTGACACACGTATGTTAATGCAAAATGTCCAGATGGAATCCTTGTTCTACTATGTAAAATTTTTCCATCCAAAATTTTCCAACTTGACATTTTGTCTGTGTTGGATGCTTGCACTTTTACCTTTTACTATAGAGTGTTAGGAGAAGAAAGAACTGTGAAAATTTTACAAACTGACATTACAAATTGTCTTCACAAGTAAACATTTTAATAACTAGTTTCTGCTGACATTGGCAGGTTTTACCTTCCAGTCATCTTGTTTTTACATCATAGAATTTTTACTGACCAAATGGAGGGAGGGTGTGTTGCTCATCTCATTTCACCTTGAGCTAACCTTCAATTTGTCAAAGGTTTTTTAAAATACTTTACTTATTTACCAAAGTATCATTAGAAAAACGCTTTTAAATCATAGCTTATACTTGCAAAGCTGTTGAAGTTGAGATTAAATAAATTGTTGACAATATCCTTTTGTTTTTATGTAAAATATTTTATTTACATATTAATAATCTTACTTTCAGTGAAATGTAATGAAAGTTTAATTATCTTCATACACAGAAGCTAACTATATTGACTATTGCACTATAATAAGCATCAAGGCAGGGCACTTATCACTTAATATACTTTATTAGAAATTAAACTTGGACTCCCAGGTTATTTGAAACATAACCTAGGAGCATTATATTTAGAGGTATACAATTCAATCTGAAATGATTTGGTGAAGTCTTTATAGACTATTTAATATGTATTAGTGATAGAATTAGAAATTATTTTCTTTTGCTGATATTTATTTTTCCAGGAAATGTATGCTTAAAACCTTAACTTTGAGTCTGAAGGTTAAGAAACAACCTCATGCCCACATGGTTGTGTAATACTCTGAAAAGAAACGAAGTGCTTCTATGAGGCTAGAAAATTCTAAATGAAATAATTATTTCACATTTACCTAAAAACAATTGTCTTTGATGTACTGAAACAGATTTAGCAGGTGGGTTTATATTAAGAATTTTTTTATCATTAAGTGTATACTTTTTCCTATATATGAATGGCTAACCATCGTGGCAGATTTTGATGCTGTACTATCAGAAAAGTGAAACTTGCCTGATAATCAGTGGTGAATAAGGAAGAAACAGAGGCTGGAGAGAGAAATTGTTGGTTAAGAGCACTTGTTTTTCTGAGGACTCAATTTGATTTCCAGCACCTACGTGGCAGCTTTTTATTTCCTCCCCTTTTAAAACTTACATTGGTCAGATGATTTATTACAATGCTGTTATCAGCTAATGCACATAGCTACTTACCATACTGAGCTAAAGGCTAAAGTTTTTTTTTTTTTATTGAAAGTAATTTTTTTTTCATGCACTATATTTGGATTATGGGAGCTTCCAAGATTTTCACCATCTTCCTCCCGCCAGAATCCGCACTCTTTTTGTCAATCATGTTTGGTTTTAGTTTAGGTCTCTGGGATAGACGGCCTCTGGTTCCTGGCTCTCCAGGCAGGGACAGGGTTGGGCTCCCTCTTGTGGCATGGGTGTCAAGCTAGACCAGTCATTCATTGGTTGGTCACTCCTACAAGTCTGTACCACCTTTAGCCCGGCACATCTTGTAGGCCGGACAAATTGTAGGTTGCAGGCTTTGTGGCTGGGCTGGAAGCCTTGCCTCTTTACAGGAGATGACTGAGCAGAATCTCTATCCCCTTTACTAGGAGTCTTAGATAGGGTCAGCCTTGTAGATGCCTGGGAGTTTTCATTGCATTTGGGTTTCTACCGTGTCACTGAAATGTCCCCAATACCAGTCATCTCTCCTAGTACTCTCCCTCTTCTTTACCTTCCGTTCCCTTCCCTATTGACCTGCAGATCATCCTCAGAATCTACTCTATTTCCTCTTCTCAGGGAGATCACCTTGTTACCTAGCCTCTCTGAGTTTGTCGATTATAACATTTTTTTTTTTTTTCTGGACCTGAGCTGGAGAGAGGACTCAGCCAATAAAGGCTAGCCTCACAAGCAAAACTATGACAGTTTGGAAGTATTTATATTTTTAAATTTTAGAAACATTTAAAGGTAATTATTACAAATTATTCTTTGACTATTGTTGGGCTACATCTATGAAGACATGGGCTACTAGGCTTTTCTATGGGATTTTTTTTAATGAAATTCATTTATTTGTTTATGTTTTCAACTTCATCTTGATTCATATTTTGCAAGACTGCATGTCTTTAAGAATTTACCTCTTTCCTTCAACTATGCACTCTATTGTACAGCATTGTTCATATAACTCATTATAATTGTTTTGCGCTTCTGAGGTCTATGTTCTAATTCTCTTACTTCATTTAGATCTTTCCTTTATTAGGGTAGGTAGAAGTCTTTTATGCTTTTTTTTCAAAATACCTTTCATTTGTTGACTCTTCTTCTCTATATTATGTATTTCTGTTGTGATATCTATATTTCATTTCTTCTTTTTGGATTCATTTGTTTTATTTTATGAACCATTGGGAGAGAAACTGATCATTTTTTTCAGCTTTTTCTTCATTTTTTAAAACAACCTTCTTTTATTTTACATACCATTCGCAGTTTCCTCTCTCTCCTTCTCCTGTTCCCCTGACCTTCCCCCTACCCCACTCCCAGTACATTTCTCAGAGAGGGTGAGACTTCCTTGGGGGAGTCAACAAAGTCTGTCACATCACTTGAAACAGGACCAAGGTACTCCTTTCTGTATGTAGAAGGTTGAGTAAGGTATTCCTCCATAGGGAATGGGTCACAAAAATTCAGTTCTTGCCCGAGGGATAATTACTGGTTCTAGGGCCAGTGAGCCCACAAGCTGCGCAAGCCACACAACTGTCACCCACACTCACAGGGCCTAGTTCGGTCCCAGGCATGTTCTCCTAGCTGTCAGTCCAGAGTCAGGGAGCTCCTACTAGCTGGGCTGGAGAGAAGGTCTGGTGGTCCCTTCATTTTTAGTGGTGACATTTATCTGTTTAACATTTCTTTTCAGTGCTTTTCTTGAATCCTATCTTTTCTGTTTTATTATATTTTGGTTTTCATTTTTCTCAAGGTATGTTAAAAAATCCATTTTTGATTTCCTGTTTGGCTCAGCCATTGTTGAAGAAAATTTTGTTTAGTTTCTATGGATTTATGGATTTACCAGAGTACTTTTTGTTATTGGTTACCTTAAATTTCATTATACTGTGTTCAGCAAAGATACCTCAGAACACCAGTCCATGAATCTGATGAATATTGGTAAACACAATCCTCAAAAATCGATTTGAAGATTCCAGCAAAGTTCCTGAGTTTCAGTCCATATTAGAAACCCGAAGCTGAGCCCTAATGTCTAAAAAAACAAATGTAGCAATGGCCAGGATGGGACAGATGAGTCTGTCAGCCAGAGTAATTAATGACAGGTGGCGAAAGCAAGGCTTTTATCCGGGCTGCTCACACTTTAGAGCGGTTCTTCCTCTTCAAATAATCTGACCATGAAAGCCCCTCACAGAAATGCCCAGCAATTTGCCTTTAATTCATTCCAGAATTCATATAGTTCTTGCATATAGCTTCCTTATACTTTCTTTACCCCATCTTTTCTTTTACTTATTATTAAAATTAATATCAATATTTTTAAAAATCCTAGTTAATACTTTTAATATCTGTGATAGTAAATCTTTGTCAACACAAATCCAGACATATCTGGGAAGGGAGAAAAAAGATGTAACTGCAAGATTGGTCTGTAGCCAAGTCTTGATTTGATTATTGATTGATATGGATGGAAACAAATCACTGTAGACAGTGCCACTGTTGGGCAGGTGGTCCTGGGTTGTGTAAGAACGTAGGTTCAGCCACTGAGGAGCAAACCAGTAAGAAGCATTCCTCCATGGATTCTGCCGCAATTCCTGTTTCTATGCTCCTGCCCTTGACTTCTCTCTATGATTGGACTGTCAGGCTGAAAGTCATTGATATATATGGTGTATATGTCAAATGGCTATAGAGATAACTCAATTTAATTTTGAAGTTTAAAATAAAAAAGATAGTTTTTTTAAGAGACAAATAATTTTACCTTAATTTAGACACTATGTTATATATATGAGTATCTATACCTGCAGGTGTATATATTGACAATTATGGTACTGCATTATATATATATGTATATGTATATATATTATAAATTAATGCTTCTATGTATTAATTAAAATCAGTACCAAATCTAACATTGACAAAACAACTACTACCCCTAAGGTTCAAGGTTGAAGAGGGGCAGAAAGAGTGTAGGATCCAGTGAACAGAAAATGCGCTGTGATGCTGTGTCTCCCGGTAATTTCAGGTGTTACACCCACTAAGTTTCATCAGCATGACTGACCATAAGCTGACAGGGACAACAACAGTAGGCATGCCCGCGAGAGAGGGAGAAAGAACTCAAGGTTTCCACCCTTCACAAAGAACCACAGGCAGCTAAGGAAAGCTGAGTGCAGGAGAAATAGGCTTACCCAGGAACGAGCACACCCACTGTTATTCAACATCAAGTGGTCAGCCCTGAAATTATGCATACAAGTAACATTATACAGAAAGTACAGGTTATATGTATGAATATATATGTATACTCATATACATATATTCTTGTAATAGTAATTATTAACAAAAGAACCACGAATTTGAAAGAGAGCAAGGAAGAGTGTATGGGAGGACTTGTGGGGAGAAAAGGGATGGGGGAAATGATGTGTTTATAATCCAAAAAGTAAAATAATGAAAAAATAATTTTGTTAAAATGCAAGATTTTATCTAAAGTATATATTTTAAGTTGAAGTATTATAATAATTGGACAGCATGTTCTACTTTAAATATCATTTTATTTTATAGGGAATCACAATTTTATCAAGTGGAGAAACTTTAGTGCTTATCCTGGTGAGGTGGTGAGGAGGATTTTGGAATACTGCCACTAGATCGGGAGAACACCTTTGACAGAGTTGAAGATACCTTGGCCAGCACTTTAGACCCTTGCTTGGAAATAGTGTTCTTGGATGTTTCTGTATAAAAAAAGATGATATTAGTGAACTGAGAGATAATTGAAGTACTTTACAGCAATGACTTAGAATTAAGAAGCTGGTATTTGTAAATTTATCTGTGCAAGATCAAGCACAGCTACAGTGTTTTCACTTGTCTTGTCAGGCATCCCCGTAGGAATCGTGCACAGTAATGCACACTGGTCCTCCTGTCTGTTCTTATGCCAGTACCAGGCAGCTTTCAGTACTGTAGCTCTGTAGTAGAGTTTGAAGTTCATTCATGCATGATGAACTTTGCTGAGATCAAAGACCTTGCTTAAAACAATACAGGTAAAATGAGTCTAAGTTAAGAATATGGTTCAGTAATTTTTTCTCTCATGATGTAGTATCTACTTGACCTTGAGGCATCTCCATTAAGCGTGCAAAGCCCACTTCTTGTCCCTCATAAACGCTATTTGAAAGTGCCTAATGAGTTGAAAATGGAGATACATTTCAGGGCTCTGTATGTGGGTTCTTTGACAGAGTATACAAGTAAAAAGATATACGGTGTAAGAAGAAATATCTTCAAATGCTGTAATTTCTCTATGTTGTGTAAATTTTCTTTTGAAAGTGCATCGATATAATTCATTGTCATGTAAGATATGACTGTATAGATAATGAAAATGTCAATATTTGCGTTCTTTTTCTGTATATTAACCTGAGTCTTTTAGCAAATATCTCAATTTATAATAACTTGTAATAGAACTTGAAAACACATAGAATATCAATACTCAACAACTTCCTAACTGCAATATATAACTTTCAAAAGTCAGCAATCTTTATTTACATACATATTTGGTTTCTCTTTTTTTTTTTGAAAAAAAAGCTCTTAAAAGGTTGCTAAGCATCTATTATTCTAGTGACCAATGGGCCCTGCCATTTCCACCGAGCCACAGTCCTTATTCCACTTTTATTACATCATCCATTTTGTTCATTAAGCCATGGTTCTTGTGAACAATGCTGCTCTGAATGACCACAGGCCCTAAGAATCTGGAGCTCTATGTAGCTCAGCAGCTGTGTAACCTTGAAGAACTCATTATGGTTTTCCTCAGTTATTCCCATTTAATTCTTTAGTACCATATGAATGACTGTGGCCTAACTAATGTTAGTTAGATTGTCTGCTGGTCCTTGGTATTCAAATTTAAAGACTGTTTATATAATAAACTGTAGACTTTTATACAAATAGTATGAATATTATATCAATACCACATTAACAATGTCCAATACAAGGGCCACTCATCCTGGAAAGATCAATAATAAAAATGTCTGCATTCACAATAAAGTTAATAAGAGTTTAATTTCATCGGCAGTTAAAAGTTACTGTTATGTAGTTTGTACCTGGAATGTTTTCCTTTGAGGGACGTGTACTGCTGGCCGCATTTTTTGATCCTTCAAAGATGGTGTGAAACTGCCAAGACAAATTGGCATACTTAGCTATGAACAGTAAAGATTACATTTGCCAACAGACACCCAAATACATATCAACCATTGCATAATTCCATGCAAGTGACATCTGTATTCTTCTGCTTCAAATAAGCTCTCTTTGAGGCCCAGGCAAGTAAACTTGCAAGTCATAGTTCTGAGGATTTGTCTGTGTGATGTGTGATGACCTTGCCTATAACCTTATGACACCTGAAGTCTGAGCTCTCTTGACTCTTGTAAAATGTTACTTGCCTACCTCTTCATTTGCGTTGATTGTAATGCATTACAATCATGTTTCTGAAACAAGGAAAAATGATACGGGAGAGGCTAAAATGTTTCATTTCGCAACTCTCAACTTTTTCTGTGGAAAGTTTAGCAATTTACATGTTCTGAAACAATAGAGTCACTTGTTTTGGTATTTCTAGGAACATGCCAGGTTCTTGTTTTATTCTGGAGACTTGTGCCATTTCTCTGAATAAAGAGGATTAACTGTCCCCTAAAGGCTAGATGCAGCCACTGCCAGAGCTCGAGTTCTCAAAATCTTTGTATACCTTCAAGTACTCAAGAGAAACTTCAGACAGGCATGTAGGTATTGCCTTTGCTCAGTCTCTCTATGTTTCGAGACAGGGTTTCTCTGTAGCTTTGGAGACTGTCTTGGAACTTGCTTTGTAGACCAGTCTGGCCTCGAACTCATAGGGATCTGTCTGTCTCTGCCTTCCACCTGAGTGCTGGGATTAAAGGTGTGTGTCACCACTGCCAGGCTAGCTTTTGACTCTTAACAGACCTTCTCCCTTTAATCATGTGGTGAAAACTCCCTAGGGCTCTAGTCTTCTTATATGTTATGTTTCATACTCTTTAGGATTGTATCTACTTCCATGTTCAATTCCATAAACAAAGAATAGAAACAAAACAACAGGTCCATCCCATAGTTTTCATCAGCTTGGAAGCTATATGTACTTTGGTAATTTTAGGGGGCATCTTATCTTCATGACTGACACTTGCTATGGTAGCAGGAAAAACAACCCATTCTCTATCCCCACGGGTTAAGTATCAAGGCCTTTCTAAGCGAACTTAATTCTATCTTTCCTATCTATGAAGTTTCAACACTGTGCCAGGAAATAGTGAAAGAAATTTAAGAAATGGTATTGACTTCCCTTTGAAATTTGATTTCTCAACCAAAATTTCTACTGTTTATTTTCAGACCCTCAGTAGTGCCCACAGCTTTCAGTTGTAATCAACTGGTGACTACGTGAGTGTGAAGGTTGCTTACTCAACTTTCCTTAGAAATGCAATTTTCACAAAAGTTTGGGCATCGAAAAGGTGACAAACAAGAAAGTACAACAGTGGAAGGGTGGAGACTTGCTAGGAATTTAGCATCAGTCAAAGAATGTTAATGAGTCCCAGACTATAACTCCAGAGCCTCTCTTTCATTGACCTACAGTTTCATTTTTTCCATGGTATGAATCAAATGAGATTGATGATTGTTAAATAGATGCTCACATTCATAAAAAAATGAGGTTGGGTGTAGAAGTAACTGGTTTCTTTGGAAAATTGATAAAAATATATTTAAGTGTGATAGAGGATTTTATGGATTGGGTCTGAAATTTGTACTATACTGTAAAGCTGGTGAGTTGCTGGAGAATTTGTGATTCTGTATTCATGTATCTGGGGGAAATTATGAAACTGGATTAAAATAAACCAAGAAGACACCATGAGAAAGAACAAAACAAAGATAAGATACAGTTGGAGCTAGTAAAACGGTTGAGGTAGAAGAACATTACTCAGTAAACACCATGTAGTGGTTAGCTGTAAGTGAAGAGTCAGTCTGTAAGAACATAGGAACATGGGTGAAACCAGGCATTCATAGCCCTTGTGACTCAACTTCTAAGTTACTCTGTGTGTCCTGTCTCCATCTACCAAATTAGTATTGAACTACCCTTAGCTGCGCAGAATCAAGGAACTCACCCCATAAGGGTTCTTTTCAGAACCAGAAGAAGCTATGAATGGAATTGTAGTTAATGTTGAGAATCATTGGCTTATTATGCTCACCCAAACAACGAATTCTGACAAAAAACAATGGGTCAAAAACTTTCATGAAAGGGACGTTTTTAGATAATAAGGACGGGTTTCCCTCAGATGGGAAGATTTGAGTGTGAAGTGATTTGAATAGTGCAATGTTTCCTGATGTTCCTCAATAATGCTACTCAGACATTGATAGAATTTGAAAATTGAACTATTTTACAACTGAACCCAAATATAAAGAAATCGGAGCATATTGAAAAATATTTACCTGAAGACTGCTTGAGTCCCCTGCTTGTAACTCCTGAGTATGCTCTGTAAAAGGCAGGAAAATACCTTTTCTTACATATACACATACATATATTCCATATACACATAAATACATCCATAGTTCTTATATATACACATACATACATTCATAGTTCTTACATATACACATACATACATTCATAGACACATACACCTTCATAGACACATGCATACATTCATAGACACACATTCATATCCACATGCATATATTCATAAGCACATACACACATACATTTGTTGATACCAATCCAATATTTTTACCTCAAATAATATAACATAGGGATCCTGGGATCCTGAGCTATTATTATTTTAATGGTTAGACAGTTGGAACAAATTTGAAACAAATAAGAGCCTTCGAATATTGGAAGACATTTGCCTTTCATTTGGAAATCATGAAAGGTAAGTGTGATGTGTCAGGAAAAGCAAGCTCTGTGCTTCAGTAGCTGCACATCCATGGAAAGCCACTCAATCCCTGTTTTTTTTTTTTAACCTATAAAAGAGAGATTACCTTAATGAGAGTTCCTAAGGGCCTTTAACATACTTTATATTTATCTAATTAGAAAAGGTAAGAGAGTCAGACATGGTGGCACACACTTTCAATCTCAGCAGAGGCAGTCTGATATCTGTGAGTTCAAGGCCAGCCTGGTCTCTATAACAAGTTCCAGTTTAAGCAGAACTACATGGTAAGACTCCACGTCAGCAGAAACAAGAAAGTTATGATGTTGTAAAGCATCTTTGAGCTAATACTCAGACAAAGTCCAATGGAATCGCTTTAGATCAAACAGCTACCCGAGGTTTCAAGAGAGCTGAACGCATCACGAAACACAAGGTAGCAGCAGTAAGCTGACCAGCAAAGTTTCTCAGAGATCCATGATTAGTAGGGCAACTAATCTGCCAGTAGAGGATCTCTGTAGAGTCTTAGCTGCATTGCTTAGACCTTGGTGACAAATTAAATGCAATCATTCTGACTCCGTTTCTCTATACATAAAATGGAAATGAGACTATTTACGTTGGCAATAACATAGAAGACGTGATACAGAAACAGGAATCACAGAACATTCAAGTATGAAGTATGCCATACGTATGAAGTCATTAAAAGCCATCACAAGTGAATATTATAAATTATCTTTTGGGATCAGTATAGATTTTAGCAAAAGAGTGAAAGAAAAACTTCAAGTAATTCCTTTAGGAATTACTACTTAATTACTTCCTAAAGGATCTGATATTACTTTATATTTCACACGACTGAAGTGACTTCTGACTTTTTCTTTAAAATTATTGAGAATATTTGGGTGCAATGAGGGGGCACAAACTGTAAACACAATTTTTTTTTATGTTTCTACAGTGCATAGGTTTTGGACTTCCAGGACTGTTAAGAATGCTGTTTTGATTAAGAGGTATATAAAAGTTCCAATTATTTAAGCGACTCAGTTATTCATAGTTACTTGAAATTTTGTTTTGTATTTTATGAAACTAGGAATAAGTATGTTCATAAACGCCATTGAAATATATACTGAAAACTCCAGCGACTCACATGTCATTTCTGCTTAAATATCTAATGAAAACCTTCATCTCATCACTCAAACTGTTTCACATGCTTCCTCCCCACTCCTGTAGCTTCTTACAAAGCTTTATCACTCAATCTTTTCAACATTTATATGCCAAATGCTGTTTTAGGCTCCAGTGGACATCAATTCAGCAAGCTTGCATTTGATACAAAGCAGTCAGGATCAAATAATTAAAATACACAGCTTTTAGCCAGCTGAAGGAGAAAGAAAGCAGAGCTGAGGCCTATGTAAGGTCACAGAAAGCAACTATTTTCAATTTCAGGGACTGTGATCTAAAGAGATCTCTGGGAAAGTGACGTGGAAAAATTCTACAGGTGAGGGGAAAATAAGGTAGACTAAGGGGAAAGAAAATTCCAAAAATACTGGCAAGTGAAAGGCTCTGTACAATTGAAGGACAACAAAGAGGTCAGGAATTAGAGTTTGATGGAGTAAAGGAAGGCCCAAGGAAAACAGAGGAAGAGTTACAAAACGTAACTGGGGTAGCATGAACTAAGGTCTTGTAAACATCGCAATGTCTTGAAGTTATGTCATTAGTAAAATTGGAAGGGACTTGACAACCTCTGGATTTATCTTACATTCTGATCATTGGATTCGTCAACTCAAGTTAACGTGTAAATTCCATAAGGATAAGCTTTGTCAGCATTATTTGCACATGGAATATTATAACAACAAAAAAGAACTTTCTGATGAACCTTAAGATGAATAGATGAATAAATGACTTGATCAGTGGCAATATCACTGGAAAATATAAGAGATATGCATAATCCAAACATCAATGTTAGGGAAAACAAACTAATACACAAAATTTAACCATAGGGAATGAGGCCTAGTATGGTTTCTTAGACAGAGTCGGAGATGTTGGGCACTAATGACCTTACCTCCTGCTTGACTGTCTTCAATAATGAAGTCAAGGAATTTGCAGTAAGTAGTTCCTGGCTGGATCTTAAAGCCCATGAGTTGTAACTCAGGAATCTCACTGGCAATTACTGATTATACACACATTATGATATGGTGCTGCTGCTCAGACAGAATCACTGCTAACAGCAGTGAAAATTATTTTGAGATCTACGTTGAGAGAAGGTGGCTTCTTGAGTCGGTTGCAGAGGTAGCTAGGATAAACTTGTGGCTTGAAATACAGGGTCATGCTTTAGTGAAAATAGCCCTATACTTCTTCTATATATTGTTTACATTTTACTTCCTGAGTTCTGAACAAATATTGTAGTAAGACTTCCTAAAAATGTGGAATAAGTTTATATAAATTGATATTTAAAAACAGTTTATGCCAGCCAGATTTCAACGTGAACAACTCTATTTAGTCTTTAAAAGGCCCTTTGCATCTCAGTAGGGGTAAACTCTAGTACAAGGGAAGCATAAATTTTCGATGAGCTAACTAATTCCAGTTCTAGTCCAGATACAAATTAGCACAGCAACACATGTTTCTTTATTCCTAGGAGAATGGCCAATGTAAATTTGCATATCAGACTAAATTCATGTAAGACAAAGCATTTGGATGAAACGATAATGGATCACTTCCTAAAAGAGGACATGCTTAACAGAAAAGTAAAGTAGCATCACTTTCAGATGCAATGGCAATCATTTTCCAAGTAGGAAATAATTAAGCTATCAAAATAGTCAAAAAAGTTACGGTTTCATCAATTTCTAAAAGTTAAGAAAAATATCCAACCTTCTAATGTATTAGTCTTCAGATCTGGTTTAAACTCTTCTGCTTCACTAAAACAAAATAAAAAAGAACAATTTTTAATTTGTTTGTTCAACAAATGAAGAAGCTACTAGTTAACCACGATCTGCCATTCTCCATTTTGAAGTACAGCTGGGTTAGCATAATGCTAAAACTCAAACTGGAGAATGATTTATAAACTGTTTTTTTCCACTTATAAATTTATTACTAAATATACATAAAATTTACAACATTAGATCATTGCAAGGTACAGCTTTGTGTTATTGGGCACATTTACAGGGCTTTGCAAACATCACTCCCGCCTCCAGACATTTTTCTGCTTAAACACCAGCACCCATTTTCTTTCTTTTCCTCCAGAAAAGTCACTATTTCACTTGATATCTTTAGGATTTTGAGTACTCCAGATAAGTAGAGCCAAAATTATATTTGCTATTTTGTGACTTATTCTAATTAATCCATTGTCGTCCATATTTTAGTATGTGAGGATTTTCTTTAAATAGATAATATTTAAAAGACTGAGACATTTTTTCTCTGGAACTCATCCCTTCTCATTGGTCTATTGTGAATCGTACTGGTACTGATACATGCTCACCAGTATCTGCGGCAGTACCTGCTTTCAGTTCTTTGCGGAATATATATTCAGAATTGCTGAATCGCATGGAAATTCCATGTTAAGTTCTTTAGGGAAGGTCCACACTGATTTTCACAGTGATTTCACAATTTTATAATTTTAGTATCACTGAGAAAAGGTTTCAGTTTCTCTCTACCCTTAATACTTCTTTTCTTTTCCTTCTTCTGTTCTCTTTCTCCACCTCTTTCCTTTCAGTGACTGTCATGGTTTCAAACTGACATCTTCTGTGATTTGATTTATATTTCCTTAGTGATTAATGCTATGTAGTACCTTCCATGTGCTGTTCTGTATGTCCTTTCAGAGGAATTTTCTGTTCAAATATATATATATATTTCTAAATATATATATTTCTAAAAATTGCTTTTGTTGTTTTATTTTGAAGTATGGGGAGTGGTTTTGATATTGACCTCATGCATATATAAATATAAATTATACACACCACACACATCAAACACACCACATACCCTTACACACATACATGTGTGTAAATATTGCAAATACACCACACACACAAATGTGTGTATATATATATACATATACAAATGTACATGTATTTTTCATTCTTTGTATTGATTTTTCATTCTGAATTGGCATTAATCACACTGTCACAATACATATACTTCTAAATCTATTTAATAACTTATACATAAGTTTTGTGTTTTTATATTAATACAGCTAGTTTGTGCTCCTAAAATTAATCTCCGAGCACTCTGACTAAACATGTTTCCATGCCATCTTCAGATCCTTCTAGTAAAGCAGAGCTATATACCTTTAGCTTACTCAACAAAGCCGAGCATCAGTCGTTCTACGCTGACAGCCCACTACCTGGCCATCCTTCAGGTATTAACAATACCCACAAGCACCACCATATCACATTAGCCACTGTCTGATTCGAGACATTTACCCCAGAGAATAAGTGTCTGGAAAATATGTGGAGGCTTAGTAACTAGAAATAAAACAGGCATGGTAAAAGAAAACTTGAGACAGAGTCGAGAGAATAGAATCAGAAGCGAGAAGGATCTGATTCTGTACACCTGCTTAACGACAGATTTACTAACAGACCCATTTTTTTTCATCTCAGATTTCTCGACTTGTTCTGCACTAAGGTTTATTTACCCAGAAAGGAGGTCTTCTTGGTTGTAGGATGAAGTGCTCATAATTCTATGTATGAAGTAATGTGTTGGTTCAGTAACAAGGATCTCTTCTTTCTGTAAAATCATAGATCAGGTATTACACATGGAGAACTTGATATGTATTTTCTCCCCCACTGCATTTTTATATTCCAATCAAGACTTTAATGAAAAGAAAGTTTTACAGATTACTTAAAATATTTTCTAAATAGGTAAAAATAGAGATGGTCCCTTTAATTCTAATTAAAATTCCTTTTCTAGTGTAAGTTGTTTTGAACTGGTTCTGTGAAGATAATATATTCTAAATTTTGATATTAGATTTTGAACCCATTTTAAACATCAACCTAGTACTGATACTAAAATGTAACATTTTAAACCTTATGTAATATTTTAAACATTAAAATATTTTAATTACTGTTTATTACATTGTATTGGAAGAGCAGAGATACAACTCTGAGAATCTCTCTCTCTTTTTCTTTTGATTCTTAGAGAACTATGGATGTTTATTACCTGCAACTTCCATATTAACAGTGCTAGGGTCACTCTGGAAACCCTGAGTACCTAAATGATACATGAAGGCTAACTACAATACACCTAAGTATGTACATCAGAGGTAACCTATAATGAGAAACTCACAACTCCTAATGAGAAACCCTCAACTCCCAATTCTCAAACACTTTTCTTGATTATCTCAAAGTACGACTAACAATGACTTCTAGTGAATCTCTTAAATTTGTCTGATCAGACATTTTATCACATACCCTGATCTATTTGTTGGGAAATCCTGTGATTTTGATTAGACTGAAATTAGATGTTTTATTTTCTGTGGTTTACTGCATATTTGGTATTTGTCTAAACACAAAAGTACAAAAGCTATGCTGGGATGTTTAAGGCAATTGTCTCAAAGGAAATCTCCTATCATATGATTTCTAAAAATATTAGTACTGACTTTTGGACAAGATAAAACCAGAAGGGTCATTGAGAAGTTTAAAGCATTAATATATACGTGATATTCAAAATACCATATATAACTTGCTACATTGAGGTTAGTTGTCAAAAACTACATAAGAAAAACCTTCACCATGTAATTTATGAAGGTAACATATCTATTAAGCAAAAGCTTGTTTTCAGACACATTGCAGGATATTGGATCACAGTAGGTGAACCCTGAGATTACATTAAATATTAGAAAAACCTGTTTCTAGTTGTGATATTGCTCAGGTCTAGCACACACCTTTTATCCAAGAACTTTCTTCTTGAATATTGTAAACAGGATTAAATAAAGTCAACCACAGGTCATGAGGCAGAGCAAGCAAACAGTTGACAGGAAGTGAAGATAAGACCAAACCATAGAGAGTAAGGAGTCAGCGATAGAGAGACAAACAGGAAGTAGAAGGGAGGCACATTGAGTCTGAGGTTTTATTGTTTGAGACGGCGTAGAAGAAAGGTCTTTTTCTGTGACATCAGTCGAGGAGGCAGGACAGCCAGGTACTTTTTCGGTCTTTTTGAACTAGTAGGCTTTCAGTCCAGCATCTGGCTCCTGAGTCTTTACTGGTAAATCAGACATTGAGATTTAGTTAAAAACAACATTGTTTCCCAATGTGGGGTACAACCATGTGAACAGAGAAATCATGCCAGCTCAAACAAGCTGAGAAGACATCAGATTTGGTAAGATTTGGGAAGTCCTCAGGGAGAGAGATATGCACTATTAAAAGGAAAGCTCTTCCCTGTGTTAAAGATGGGAAGTACCATAACACTGCATAATGTTACTTTATGTGTCCTGAAAACAGCAGCAGAAAGTGAAAAGATAAATGACTTAAGTGAGGTTCACGCATTATCAATTACTACCAGTATAATTCACAGTTTATCGTTAATACACATAGCAGCTTTTTGTGCCAAATATGAAAAGTGGATTGATAAGATACAAACCTTAGAGAGACTTATAAATGAAAATAGGAAAAATGCTCAAACAGAGACAGAGCAGTTTAGACAAGAGCCTACTGTACCACTGCATGATGAAAGTGAAGAGTGTAGTTCACGGTTGTCAGAAAATCAAACTTAGTTCACCCAGTTACTTTAAAGAACTACCAGTGTGATGCCATCCCCAAGGTTATCAAGAAGTTAAATGGAATTCTATAGAAATATAAGATTTAAGGAGATTTAAGAAATAGCCATTTTGTGTGGTATGCATCCACCCAATGTGAAGCAGATAATAAACTCATGGACAACTTAGAAAATAATTATCACCCAAGACTGGAAAAATTTGGCAATAGCAATCAGTATTGGAATCTGGTCCTTAGTTACAATGGTGAACATAATAGAAAGAAGAATCTAGGGGCTGGAGAGATGGCTCAGTGGTTAAGAGCATTGCCTGCTCTTCCAAAGGTCCTGAGTTCAATTCCCAGCAACCACATGGTGACTCACAACCATCTGTAATGAGGCCTGGTGCCCTCTTTAGGCATGCATGTAGACAGACTACTGTATACATAATAAATAAATAAATGTTTAAAAAGAAAGAAAGAAAGAAAGAAGAATCTATAGCCATAGAACAACAAAATAGGGATGGGGGTATTAATATTTCCCAAGATAAGCTTCTAGGTAAAGATCAATATGCTGAGTCACAAAGGCATATCAAATTTTATGATCATGCCTTGGTGCTATGTCATTTAGCAGCTTTCAATGTTTGGGACAAGGTTGAAGCATCAGGAAACAGGTCTGAATCATTCACTAAGATTATGTAAGGCCCAAAAGAAGCCTTCACTAATTTTTTTTTTTGTGCAAAGTTTGACTTAAGCTGTGACTGTAATAATATAAGATCCAGAAGTCAGAAAAATATTAATTGAATCTTTGGCTTTTGAAGATGTTACTTCAGAAAACAAAAGGGTGATTAGGCTTTTAAAGACAAGATCAGCACCATTAGATGAATGGATTAGAAATATGGCTGATATTAGATCTCACATTTATGACATTACTCTGATGAGAAGTAATTTCTGAAAGCTTTAATAAAGTCAAAATGTCAAATGTCTTAATTGTGGTAAAGAAAGTTATTTGAAAAGGGGTTGTAGGCAAGACATTCTAGAAGCAATGATTTTTTTTTAGAGATATCCAAGCATAAGGTCCCAGCCTTCTGGTATATGTAAAAGGTATAGCAAAGGCCATCACTGGACTAATGAATTCAGATCAACAAGGGACAGGCAAAGTAATCCTTTGTGAATGGGCAAAGTGGCCTCCCACAGGCCGCAATATTAAATTTGACTCAATCATCATTCCCTGTTAGCATTGGAGAAAATCATCCACAGGGCAATTAAATGGTTTAATGACTGCTTCTAAAAAATGGCACTGCTCTGGCTGCAATCAAGGAGAGAACAGCTTCAAGACAAAAAAATTCAGGAGAAATCAGAAAACAAGTATTTTGGAAAACTGCTATAAATGATCAGAGATCGAAACAAAAACTAAAATTAAATGCTGTTGAAATTTAAGGTGTACTAGACACAGAAGCAGATGTAACAATAACTTCACCAAAATTTTTACATCCCAATTGGCTTCTTAGGGAGGTAAATATTCAACTTCTATGGATTGGAACTTTCTCTCAAGTAAAACAAAGTGCAAGATGGATCAAACATATAGGGACAGAAAGGCAAATAGAAAAATTACACCCTTATGTGACTAGTAGAGCCATGAATTTAAGGAAGTGTGATTTGCTGAAGTAATAGAAAACACAGATTAATATTTCCCCAGTCTCATAAACAAGTCATAAAAGATGCATCTGAGAAAAAAATACTAAAAGTTATTATCAAGAAGAGTCACAGACCATTGTACCTAAATGGACACAACAGCTATTGGCCTTTCAAAAGTACCAACTGTCCTACCTTTAAAATGGTTAAATAACACATCTGTGTGGGCAGAACTATGATCTTTGAAATCAGAAAAATTACTGACTCTAGAACAGCTGGTACAAAAGCAGCTAAATGCTCAACATATTGAAAATTCCACCAGTCCTTGGAATTATCCCATCCTTGTCATTAAAAATAAATCTGGAAAATGAAAAATGTTAATAGATTAAATAGTCATAAATAATGTGACTTAGCCAAAGGACTCTTTACAGTTTGGAATTCCTTTGCCTTCTTTATTACCTAAGGAATGGTATATTATAGTTACTGATTTAAAAGACTGCTGTTTTTAAGAAACAGGATAAAGAACAGGATAAAGAAAATTTGCATTCCCAGTGTCTACTTACAATAATGCTCAACCTGTCAAAAGGTATCAGTAGGAAGTTTTTCCATATGAAATGTTAAACAGCTCCTCCTTGTGTCAATATTTTGTACAACAGTCATTAAAATAATTTATAAACAATTCCCTCAATCTGAAATTTAGATATATTGATATTTTACTGGCTGATTCAGATTCTGATACCTTAGAAAAATGTTTGATGAAGTAAAGAGAACTTTGCCTTTCTGAGGATAACAAAATGCTTCAGAAAAACTACAAAGAGGAGATTCCATCAATTATTGAGGATATAAGATGAGTTTATAGATAATTCAACCACAGAAAGCACAAACCAGGAGAGACTAATTATAGTCTCTTAATGCCTTTTAAAAAATATTGGGAGATATTAACTGGATATGGCCAACAGTAGGTGTAATTATTCAAGATCTAAATAATTTATTTCAAACCTTACAATGTGATAAGGAATTAAATAGTCCAAGAAAGTTATCAGCTAATGCTAATAATTAGCTGATAATTAGAGAGAATTAGCTGTGGTAGAAAAGAAATAGGATGTGCACATGGATCACCTGGATCTAAAGCTTGATTATATTTTAATTATTTTGTCTTCTACTCTTTCTTTCACAGGAATTTTTATGCACAGAAAATAATCTCTTAGAATTATTGAGAGAGAAAAAATTAAGGACACATGTAGATAAAATTCTAAATTGATTCTGAAAGAAAAAAAAGGGGCTCTGTCAATTAGCAGGAATAGACAGAGCAGAAATTGTATACATTTTTCTAATGCTGAAATTGCCTCAGTATGGGCAGGAAATGAACATTGGCAAAGCATTTGCAGCAATTCTGAGAGAGAGATTAACAATAAATATCCAAAAAGCAAGAGAGATTTGTTTATAAAAAGAATTTATTGGATTCTTCCTTATATAGTAAAAGGGACACCAATTTCTGGAGCTCCCACATTCTATCCTGATGCAAATAAATCAAGAAAGGTAGGTAACAAGTAAGAAAAAAGCAGCTCAAAGTCCTTATGATTCAGGTAAAAATCCAGAAGTGCATTCCATTCTTACGGCATTATCAGATTTTCATGAATCTCTTAATTTAGTTACCGATTCTCAATATGCAGAAAGCATTGTTTTACATATTGAAACCACTAAACGTATTCTGGATTGTTTAAAATTAGTTTTACTATTTATTCAACTACAACATGTAGTCAGAATAATTATTCATTGTATATAGCATGTATCAGATCCCACAGGAGCCTACCAGGCCATCTAGAACAAAGTAATGATGAAATTGATCAGCTATTGGTAGGAAATGTGCTAGAAGCCTCAGAATGTCATAAGAAACACCATGTTAACAGCAAGGGTTTGAGAAAAAATTTTTCTATCAGTTGGTAACTAGCCAAGGAAATCATAAAATAGTCACACTTGTTTTTTTTTTTGTTGTTGTTGTTGTTTTGTTTTTTATAACCAAATTCCAATATATATAGAAAAAAAAGCCCAAAGGTACTACTAAAAAGAAATGTGGCAAATGGATTTGTTTCCTTTCACAGAGTTTGGAAAATTAAAGTATGTGCACCATACCATAGATACATATTTAGGATTTCACGAGCAACTGCTTTAAGTTCTGAAAAGGGTTATTCTGTAATTCCACACTTATTAGAAGTTATGGCTACTATGGGGATACCTATACCAATTAAGCCTGACAATTCTCCAGCATATGTCTTTACTAAAACAAAGCAGTATTTTGCAAATTGCAATGTAAATCATATTATAGGTATATCACACAATCCTACAGGGCAAGCAATTATAGAAAGATCTAATCACATTTTAAAAGATATGCTTAATAAACAGAAAAAAGGAATAAAGACCCTCCCCAGAGACAGATTACACCATGGTTTAATAACTTTAAATTTTTAGTGCTAATGAGAGAGGAACTATGGCTGCAAAGACATTGGATAGTAGGGGAAAAACCGCTGAATTAAATCAGTCTGAATATTGTAAAGATGTGTATACCACAGAATAGAAATGGTGATATATGTTACATAGGGAAAGACGTATTGTCTTTGTTTCCATAGGAGAAGAAAAGGGACAGAAACCATTAAGATAGCTAAAGATTAGATTCAAATAGGAGAGACCTCCTGAAATGGGAGAAGTGAGAGTTTATCAGACAGCTTGGTCATTCAATCCAAAATAACCCACAAAGACTAACAAGTGCCTTTCTTTTAATCAGGCATGAAAAAATAAAACTACAATATAATCCATTGCTTTGAATTATAATTTAATCAAAGGCACACTCGCCTTACTGATATGAAATGAAAAAATGGATTTCTTAAACCACACGTTTTTGTTTCATATTAGAATGTTATACTGTAGATTGCAACATGGTTTATATACTCTTGGACATCAGCTTTTGAGTTTTCTTTTTAAATAAAAAGAATATTTTTGCTGTTTGGTATTAAAAACACAGTTAAGAGATTTAAAATATTTCAACTAAATTCACAGGGTTATTACTTTCAAACTTGTTTTCTAAATCTCTAAGAGTTAGAATATTTGGAGCTAACAAAATATTTGAGCAAGGCAGTGTTAGCCTGTGCCTTTAATCGCAGCAGAGACAGGAGGATCTTTATAAATTAGTTGTTTTCAAAATTCTAGAGTTACAATAAACAATGTTGTGGTTGCACATGACTTTAATCCTACCATCCAGGGAAATAAAATTAGATATAGCTTCTAACTGCTGTGTTTGCACACTATAAAAATCACACATCACGGTCATAGAATATTACAAAAACTCTCTGCAAGGTTACTAGAAAGGCAACTAATTTCCAAAGGGAGCAGGAACAAGGAACAGCTTTTTCAACTACCAGTAAGCTCTTCTCCATTCATGCAATACTGACCAATATTGAGTCAGTGGAGCCTAAATATGGATATCATTTTTTTTGGTGAATTGGCAACTGGGAATGTTTCATAAGGCAAGAAGAAGTCTGCCAACTTTTGTGTCCTATTGGCTTCTATTGAAAACACTTTCCATATACTGAGAATAAATATGTTCTCTTTTGAGAAACAAATCTGGACATTTTACAAGGTATGGAGTACCTGTGATTCAGTCATTGCTCACTGCCCTATTGTCGTAACGGCACCCTTACCGTGATGGGTTGGATATGTTCAAGTGCAGAGACCTTTACAGGCTTAAGTATTTAAGGAAGCATATTACAGTGAAACTGGTACCTATTTAAATTCCTTCACGACTAGAATATGGTAGCAAATGGGTCTGTTCCTCCCACATGGAGGAAATAGCTCAGTTGCCATCCTTACACAGCTCATTCCTCCCCCAAAGAGGGACACATTTATCTGTCGGAACCAACAGAATGGTATTTGCTAATACATGGTTTACTGATGGTTCATCAACCACTGATGGAACCAAAGCGAATGGAAAACGGCAAGCCTATAGAACAGAGATGGAATGGCCAGTCCTCAGGAAGGAAACACAAAATCGAGGCAGTGCTATTGGCTATAAGACAAACAATTGGGAAAGCAAAAGGAAAACCTCTATCTTCCCCAATGCACGGTACGTGTGCAATGGTATAATTATAATGCCACCAAACTAGAAAACCACTAACTGGTAGATAAATGGCTCGAATATCTAATCATTGGGGTATGAATGGAGATGGTATAACCTAGAAAAACTTAGTAAAGACATCAAATTATATGTAGCTCATACAGACAAGATAAAAAAATATCCAAAATAACGAAATAGTGGAGAAATCAGCATCTTAATTAATTAAGAATGTAATATTAATTAATTTAATTAAGACTAGAATATTAAAATTTGCCAGGCAACAAATTCAGAATAATTCAGCAAGAAAGATAGATGACACATTAGAAAAACTTGAATGTTTACTCCTAACATTAAACAATAGAAGGAAAATGGAGAACCAACTTAAACCAGACAACCCTATGAGAATAACTATTATAAAGAACCCATAGCTGGGTAATGGTTCACACCTTTAATCTCAGCACTTGCAAAGGAGAGGCAGGCATATAAGAATTACAATGATTTAAATTTAAAACATACTTGCAAAATGCAGGGTGAAATTTAAAGTGGATGCCTTGTGATCTAAAAATAAGTACACTCAAACATCGAATTTATATGTAAAGAGAAAGGAGAATATTTATGTGTGTGTGTGTGTATGTTGTATTTAGTTTCAAAATATGCTTTTATTTGAAATACAAATCTTTTTCTTTTGCAAAAAAAAAAAAAATGTCCTAAAAGGTAAAACATGCAAAAAGAGGAACCCCCAGAGTTTGGATTCAGGTAGGGTTTTGATTTTATCTTTCCAGGAGAATAAAAACATCTGACTGAAGAATCCAGAATCCAGTGAACACTGGACAAGTGAAACATCAAAAAAAAAGACAGATCATCAAGAGAAAATACCCCCCCACACACACACATATGCAAAAGAGTAAATTGGCCAAGGGATATCACCTACTCACCTACCTCCAGCTGGCAGGCCTGAAATCCCAACTTGGAGTCTCAGAGTAGTGATCCCAAAATGCAACTTCAGATTACAATCTGCTCAGGACATTTAGATCTTGAGTTCAGATCAGACTGATGCAAACAATTTACAGAACCTTGTGCTCAAAAATACTTAATCCTTGAACTGCCAAATACAACTAGCTGGACATTGTGGAAAGCTCGGCCGGAGTAGCTTCATTATTGTAAATAGCTTTACAGTGTTAGAGCTAAAATCCATTCCTTTTTATTTAGACGGAACTAGGCAAATTTTGCAGGATATGTGATCACTCTGTGAACCCCAGGATTACATTATTTACTGGAAATAAAATTATGTCTAGTTCTGGTGTAACTCTGGCCTATTCCACACCTTTAATTCAAGAGTTTTCTGCATGAGTACTGTAAGCAGGATTGTAAAACCAACAATAGGCCAAGAGGCAGAGCATCAGCCAGTTGATAGGAAACGAAGACAGGATTAAAGCATAAGTAAGATGGAGTTGGGAGGATGGATAGAGATATGAGCAGCAAGTGGAAATGGTAGACTTGAGCTTAAAGTTTTGTTGTTCAAGATGGCCTAGGAGAAAGCTCTCTTTCTGGGATGTCAGTGGAGCAGGAAGGACTGCCAGGGGCTTTCCCTGCCTCCCTGAGCTAGCAGACTTCCACCTCAGCATGTGGCTCTTGAGTCTTTACTGGTAAAATTGAACATTCGAGATTTAGTTACAAACAACAAAGACCCAGACAATGATTTTCTTTTTGCTTTCATTTGCTGTTTTCAGTGCTAGGGGTTGGACCCAGGTCTTAACACAAGCTGTGTCACAATCTGACTTTCCACAGATTTCAAACTTCCGTATAACTTAGGCGCATATTTGGATTCGTCCTATTTACACTAAGTTCTTTATGAATGTCCAGCAAATACTTATAGCCTCAAACAAATATTTATATTATAAGTAAGGTTGAACGTCCCCAAGAAGTGTCTATTTTTCATTTTTCTATTCAGCTACCAGTTCTAGGTTTCTTTGTATTAAATACTTAACTGAGTTTCACGTTCAGTTAGTTATTGTACCTATGCTATGTATCTACAGGCTTATGCAGATAATGACTCTAGCATGCTTTGCTAGACTGTCAAGGTGCAACCCAGAATAGAGTGTATAGGGTTGTCTACCCTTCCAAGTTTCTGGGAGTCACCTTTTGTCACCTACCTTATATTGTAGCTTCTCCCTAGAAGACGGTTCTTCTGCTAAGCTTTTGGAGGAGGCCATGTCAAGCTCAGCAACAGCTCTTTTAACATGTGTCTTGTTAGGATCCACCATCTGATTTCCAGTTGTTTCGATAATGTCAATGTTTTCACCGGATGTGGGGTGACAGCATTTACTTAGTGCTAAGAACTTTCTCAGGCTGCTGGTGCTTGTGATTGTCTTGGGAGACACGACTTCGGTGTCTAAGGGTTTCACAACCTTTGCGGCATGACCTCTAGATGGTTCCCCTAAGCACTGGTGTCCAACAACCTCTCCTAAGACAATTTCCTCTTCATCAGACACCATGTCCTCTTTGAAGCTAGTTTCTGAAACTTTTTGACTAATATCGTGAGCTACTAATCGAACGATGAGCTCTTTTTTGTTATGGATATCTTTCAAAAGCTCTACTCTGGTGATATCAGGCCTTCTTACATTTTGAAATGAATTCCTGCCAACAGCCTGGAATTGAAAGTACAATAAATATTAAAAATAAACATGTCAATCTCTTTTCTTATATTACTCTGTGTCATTCATTGTTATGTTTTATGATTTCTAACTTCAATCTAGCAAATACTTTCAAATTTTACTTACTGGCATATTTTCATTATTTCAAAAGAAAGAAATAGATAAAATCATATGCAATGCCAGTTTGTATCTAACATTATTTTTACATTAAGATGATATTATTCTGTTGTAACTTATTCCAAATATCCAGTCTAACAGAATAGTTTAAGCTTTCTCTTTTTGTAATTCCCTCTAACATTGTTTCAGAACTACATAATTAACTTTTTGTTTCTAATAAGTAATCTTATTAAAATCTAGACATTCATTTTTAAAGAAGAGGCAGGATTTTAGTGAATTCTAATTATAAAGGCAATGACTCATTGGGATTATGGTCTTTAGATTATTTATTTTCACTCCATAATCACATTCTTTGTGTTTTTTTAAGTAAGTAAATCTTCTTTTCTTTTTTATATTTCACTTAAATCCCAATTATTTTTTAATATATAATAATTCAAGAAAACATAAGTATAACTCAGTAACCAAATTATTCCTTTTTGGTAGATTTTTCTATATCACAGAAGTTATAAGTTAATTTATGATTAATCTTCAGCTCAACCTTCATTTTCAGCTTTCCAAACCACATTTTTAAGTGACAATATTAAAATGTTATCTTCTGTGGGAATAAACTATTTAGAAGCAACTCTTGAAAAATTCAAAATAATCAACTTTATCTATTATTTGTAAAAAAAATAGTAAGGTTAGAAAATCCAAATATATGCAATATAGTTTGGGGATTTGTTACTGCAGGCGGTTTAAATATGTTGTTTTAAATGAAAAGCATGGCATCGCTGAACAGAATATTGAGCCATGAAATAAAGCCAAGTGCCTAAAGTACCCGATCTCACCCACAGACTATTTTCTGTCTTTTTGTTGACGGAAGACATGCTCACCATCAGATTGGCAGGTCAGATTTCTGTCCGAGTTCTGTGAGGCTGCTGGTTGTTCATTGTTCCCGGTATTATTGCTGCCACTATTATCAAATGGATCTTTCTCTACTCACAAGGAAAATGGCGTTTGTGTTTAAAACTCACCATGACTGAAAGTTGGGAGTCAGGAAAAAAAATTGTTCTGGATGGTTTTATAGATAATTAAAGTTTATTTTAGTAATATTTTATAGGATCATCACAGAAATTTTGCACTCAGGGAATTGCTTATGTATAATTAACTTATTATGGGCCATAAGTAATTTTCAATATTATACTGGAAAAAAATCAAGAATTTTTTTCTCTAGAGAAAATAGTTTTATATTGGTTCAGTGCCATGGCACAGAGCACATTCATAAAGAAAAAACCAAAAATGTACACATTCAATGTAAGGAATTTAAAGAGAGCCTCCATGCCAGGGTTACATTTTATTGGACTGTTTATCCAAGGGATCTTATTGAATCCTTCAAATATCGCAGGTTATTGATAGGGCTATTGGTTACCCTCTGTAACTTGACAGCAAGATGCTATTGCTCTAGACATCACAGACATATGTCTTCAAACATGGAGAGATAGGGCTGGTGCCTACTGCAGTAGAAAAGTAGTTATTAATATCATCCAGCTACAAACCCTGGGCCCTGCACCAGTGACCTGACAATAAGATATATGGTTGAAGTAATGACACAAAAGTTACTGTTGTGGGATTCTCCTCTGTACACTGTGAATACCATTGGTGAATAAAGAAACTGCTTTAGCCTGTAGATAGGGCAGAAGTTAGGTAGAAAGGGAAAACTAAACTGAATGCTGGGAGGAAGAAGGCAGAGTCTGAGAGAAGCCATGGAGCCCCATCACAAACAGATGCTGGAACCGGTAAGCCACTGCCCTGTGGCAATACACAGATTAATGGAGATGGGTTAAATTAATATGTAAGAGCTAACTGATAAGAAGTTTGGGCTAATAGGCCAAGCAATGATTTAATTAATACAGTTTCTGTGTGGTTATTTCGGGGCTGAGCAGCCGGGAACCAACAAGTGGCCTTCCTCCAACAAGTTATAGCAATAAATTAACCAATTTTTGATTGGATGTAAATCCAATCACATGAGATAGAACCCAGATCTGAAACTGTTCAAGTGATTAAAGATCTGACACTCGAGAGATCATTGGCCTAGGGAAAATCCAGTTACTATTATTCTGTAAAGGGAGACAATTAAATGGTTTTACATGACATATTGCTATAGATGAGTGTACCTCATTCATCCCTCCTCAGAGAATAATACTCTTGGCAATTAACACAGAGATCCACAACTAGAAAATGTTCAGAAACTAAGAGACTTTGTAGCACTGAGCTCTAAAAGTGATTTCTTTAGCAAACCTCTACCTGTAAGGCACAGGTATCTATGGGGAGAGAAGAGGGAAAGACTGTTTAGAGTTACAGGTGGTGGATGGTTGCAAGGAAATGGCATCTTCTAGATGCAAAAAGCAACACAGCAAGTCTGTTACACATATGAGTTCACAGAGAGTGTAGCAGCATGCACAAGTTCAAACACAGCAAAACTCCAGTGGTGAGAAGAGGAAGTGGATACATAGTACCACTCCTCAGCAAGAAGCTGTTTGCAGCTGGTAACGCACTGGGAAAGGGGAAATTAGTTTTCTGTAAAAGAAAGTCACTACACGTATCAACCATTTTCCAGGGCAAACCTTATGACCAGGAGTAATTTGGGAATGTTGTTTGCTGTTGTTTGCTTTGGTATGTTTTGTCTCATGGTTTCCTGTCCGTTTCTTTGTTTTTTAAGATAAGAGAGAGAAAGAAAGAATATGAATTAGGGTGAATATGGAGGAATTGAGGATACAAGAGGAACTGGGACAAGGATGTGAATAAAATGTACTACATAAAAGAATTGAAATAAAAATAATACAAGAAAAATAGTACTGTAGTGCCCTAAATAAATGGCTTTTAATAAATGTTCTTAAAATATTTTAAATAAAATTATATTCCAGTCATTCTGGTTTTAATAAAGATCCATAGTTATGTTTCCTTGCTTCAAAGAAAATAGTTTTAGGGGACTATCTTATAAAACACTAGCCTTAAGCCTTTAGTGTGAAATAGGGAAATGACATGGCCAGTCCTTGAAGATCCTGACTGTAGAGATGAACTGCTGTAACCAATTCCCTGTTTGACTGACAGAAATAACAAGTTTATCTTTCTTTTCTTCTTAGGAAAGAAAGGAAATCATAGACCTGGCTCACTGTTTGCCCATTTCCTCCATTGCTGCAATACTTACCTCTAAGGGTTTTACATCTAGCCGTCCTGTCCTATCCAATGAGATGCGTCTTTCTTTCTGTCTTGTTCCTAATTCAGACACGTCTGTGGAGGAAGAGTGACCTTTTCCACTTATGGAAGCTCTTCTCAGCTCTGCTATGCTGTATCCAGTTCTCTTTATACAGTCCATCTTAAGTGTTTCCAGAGGCTGAGTCTTCATAGAAATAACTGCTAAGTGTTCTGAGATGATATTTGGATCTATTTTCAGTGGTTTATTTCCAACATGTGGAATTATTCTAACAGGAAGTTCATCTTCTAATACATCATCTGACTCTTTGTCAGAGTCAGAGTTCATTTGTGCCACATGCTTTTGTGCTTTTTCAATGATTCGGTTTGTGTCTAGATCTCCAAAAGCAGCAACATAAGAACTCTTGGTGCTAACCCTACATGAAGGAACATTTGAAACTCCATCAACAATTAAGCTAGCCACTTTCTTAGGGAAGGACTTCTTTGTATCTTTCATATCATAGATCTCATTATGTGTTCCAGATTGTTTTATTATATTATCGTAAACAGACTCAATAACCTGAGAAATCATTTCAATGTTTTCTGGATCTAAAGGTTGTTCTTCAGAATTAGAATCCACAAGACTGATGTTACTTCTGGAAATTTCAGCTGTTACAGATTTTGTCAACTGAGATGCAATTTTATTTAACTCAGGCTTCATTAAATTGTCTGTGTCTTTGCTTGCAGCACCAGAATTCTTTACTAATTTAGCCAAAAACAAAGCCAAAGCTTCCTCTAAAGCTCTGGAGTCTAACATTAAATCTTTTATGGATGAAGGTTTTTCCTGAGACTTAAGTTCATCAATAATTTTCACCACCTTTTCCATAATTTTGACAGCTTCCAAAACTAATTCCGAACTTGAAAGTTCTTCATCTGCTTGAGGTTGAAACTCAGAATTGGAAATCTCCTTCACCATTAATGTACCTATTATGTCGGAAAGGACATTACTCTTCCCCTTTAAATCTTCAAATACAGATGTAGGAGAGCCAGAGTGTTTTAAAAGGTTGACATAAACAGAATTAGCTACTTTTTCAACAGTTGCATCATCCGCTAAAGGCACAGGTTCTGATTCCTTGGCAGGTTTTACAACTTTGATCTTACTTTTGGAGATACATTCTTGAATTGACTTTAATATTTTTGAGCTTATTTTTTGCATTTCAGTTTCTTGAGATTTAGTTCCTTCTGTACACACTTTTGGAAACACAGATAAGAGCTTTGATAAGAATTTTACAGCAATTGCTTCTATTACGTTATAAGACAGTTTACAAGGACGTCGTGGCTGTGATGGAGAAGTTAAGGCAACATTGGTGAGGATATTTTCAACCACGTTGTCCACTTCTGCACACTGATATGGAGTCAACTCACCACCAAAATAGTTCTGTAACTGATTGCCAGCCACTTCTCGTAGGACTAAATCAACTACAGTTTTTGAAAGGAGTTTGCACCCACTAACTATACAATCTTGGATAGTTTCCTGTGATCCAAACTGTGGCAAAAGGTTATTATAAATTGTCTGAACCACCAGTTGAATAATTTCATCATCATTTGGATGCAGGGATTCCACATACTGTATAATCATATCTTCATTTTTGGCGATCTCTGCTGCAACCGTACTTACTAACTTCATTTGAAGGAAGTCAAGTTGTGTCAAAAAATTGGGTTGAGATATTTTTGTTTTGACGTTGGATAGCTTTGAAAACACTTTTGCTAAGAGAGCTGAAATCACATCATCCAAAAATTTAAAAGGCAACTTTATGGTGTATGGAGATGAGGTTTGACATTCCTTACTGACTGTTTGCACTACCTTCTGTACCTTTTCCTCAACATCTTTTGTTTCCAGAGGTACGCATGCGGAAGCTGGTACCTCATCAGCAAATATCAAGTTAAGCTGATGCTGAAAAATTTCACTGATCACTGTGCTAGTTAACCTTTTGGCTAGACTCTCTCCATTGCTGTTGATGTTCTTGCAAATAGACTCTTGAGATGTACATTCCTTTAAAACATCGCAAACACAAGAGTGCACGATTTTATTGACAACTGATTTTTCAATTGATGGCATTCTCTCTAAGGAAGGCATCTTGTCAGAAGAGGATCGCTCAGTGGTTTTATGCACACTTGGCACCTTATCCACAGTTTCATTATTCGTGCTGGATGATAATGGTACATCTGTACTTGCTTCTTTAGATTCGGCAGGTACCGTATGAACTGATGACTCTTTAATTGCTTGTGAGACAATTTCAGTTTCCTTCTCTGGCCTAAATACCTTGATGTCTGCTTCTGAGAGCTGCTTTAGCATTGAGTCAATGAGTCTCATAGCTGTGTCATAAAGTTCACCTTCATTTTGTTTGGCACTTTGATCTGGCACTTTATCTTGTGTTTTTGTTTCTGGTGAGGGCGTAAATACCAGCTTGTTCACCATTTCAGTCATGACATCTTCTAGAAACTTAGCAGGAATAATTGTCGGTTTACTTCCTGATGAGGATGGCGGATGGTCTGGCTTTTTAAGTTGACTTTTAATCTCTTTCCCTCTTTTTACCTCACTCTCATCTTTTCGTTCAGCTTCAGTTTCTTCACTTGCTTTCTTTTTAGCAGCAATATCTTTGCTAAGTGATGAGGCTCTATCCTTTGCTGTAACAGGCTGTGCAGAATCTTGAAGTATCACCATCTTTTTAGCAGCAATATCTTTGCTAAGTGATGAGGCTCTATCCTTTGCTGTAACAGGCTGTGCAGAATCTTGAAGTATCAGCAAAGTTTTATCACCTAGGAGGCTTTTGCTGTATATTGGTCTGGAAAAGTCCAAGGGCTCTTGAGAAGATATTATTAAAACATTATCATAAATGTTTTCAATGACATTTTCGACACGCTCAGTTTCTGAATACAGTTCTTCCTCGGCATCCCCTTCATCTACTGACCTCATTCCTTCTTCCTTGACTGGCTGCTGGGCTGTTTTTACAATTTTTTCTGTCATTGTCTCTTTACTCTCACTCTTAGGCTTATCATCTATGTCCTTTACACTTTTACTGGCATTGTCCATTTTCCTTTCATTGTCTGTTACAAAATCTGTTCCATGTACCTCTTTCTCAGAACTGTTATCAACAGTAGCAGTAGCAACTGAATAATGGGTGTATATTTCAATCATCTGCCCCTGCTCATTGATTAGAACTAAATTCTCTTTTTCAGTTTCACTTCTTTTACATTTGTCCGTCAAAGGTTCAACCTGAGTTTCCTTACTTTTCACATTAGTCGCTGGAGACATAACTTTTGAGGCAGCCTCATGTTCTTGAGTGTCGGATTTCAGTTTCTTTTCAGCATCTTTCTTTGTATCTGTGACATCTTCGGTTGATCCTGACATCAGGTTGATAATATTGCCTTTCATAATGGCAGCTATAGAGTTAAGTATTGCACATTTGGTCTCATCTTTTCTCATTGATAAGTCTTTAGCCAGAGCAAGCTGGGTCTGCTTTAATGATCTAGCAATCTGCATGGAGGTTTTCTGTGGTAGACGCTGAACTCTTTGACTGATACTTTCTGGATCTAGAAATGAAAAGAAAGTTGAACACCAGTCTCCTGAAAGTAGTGGCTGAATCTTGAATGCAGAGATTGCCTTTTGTGCTAAAGAAGAAACCATTTCTATAACAATGTTACCAGTGTCACCTTTCTGAATTACATCAGATCCCAATTTCCCTATGAACTGATCATAAACAAAATTAGATATCTCATCAATTGTCTCCTTTGCAATTGGTGGGAACGAAAATATTTCTTCAGCATGTGGTAAAACCTTGATTTCACTTTTCCTAAACTCCCGTATGAGAGAGTTTGCGAAGTTGATAGCTAAGTTCACAATTTCTGGCTCTGGCAAATCCTTTTTCCTAGAACCTTCAGTAAGACTTGCAAAAGAACAAAATTTGTGAGCAAGGTCAACAATTAAATCTTCTAAAAAGGCAGCTGAATATAGCGAAGGTTGTGCCTTTTCTTTCCCAGACTTAGCAACAACAGAAGTTTTGTCATAATCAGGTAAGTTACTAGAAGATGGGCCTTCACCATATAAAAATGGTCGCAAGTGATGATCCATGATTTCTTTAATAATGAAACCAGCTATTTTACTGAGAAATGAACCTCCCTTTTTGTGAGACTCTTTCTGTACTTCGGCTTGGAATTCAGAGTTTTTCAAAATATTATTACATACAGAATCAATGAAGTTGTCAACAGTTCTCGATTGCCCATCTGCAGTTTCCTCTTCAGTGGCAAATCTGATCTCATGTTCAGAAATTTCTTTTAAAATCTCATCAGTCAGTTTTGAAGCTGCAGCCATAAATTCGTCAGCATCATCTGACCCAACCTCTTTCTCCTTTAGTTTATCTGTAGTATCATCTGAAGGGAAGATATTTACTAAAAGCTTATAAATCATATTTTCTATCAGAGAACAAGGAAGCACTGTCATGCATGATGGCAAGGCATTGGTGTCCTTCAAGATGACATTGAGCACATTTTTGATGATATTTTCAGCTCGAGGAAAAGAGTAGGAAGAAGGCATTAATTCTCCTGAAACTAATGACTGCACCTGATAATCATAAATTTCTTCCAGTATAAAATGATATATTTTTCCTCCAAAACAAGTAGTATCATTTTGTATAGCCCTATGTAGTTGAATCAGTGATTTATATTCATCCAATATATTTTCATACACTGAGTTGACCATTTTTTGAACCATTTCTTTATATGTCTCTGAAAACCATAGACTCTCATCCAAATTTTCTGCAAGTAAAATTTCGGATGTAGTGAACTCTAAAATAATTGATTTTACTAATGTTGTAACAAGGTCCATTATTTTGGCTATAGCTCTCTCTGGGGTTTCATCATCCAAGAAATTCTGTATGAATGACTGAAGAATATTGCATAAAAGCTCAGAAATTACCTCCTCCAAAAAGACAGCAGAGTTCACAATGAAAGACAATTCTCTTTGCTTAGGGTTTGTTGCTTTCTTCTTGCAGGGTTTAGCAACTGAAGCTGAAAGAAAGCTTTTATCTCCCGATAAGAATGACTCTAGATGGTGATTGAAAATCTCTTTTATTATAAAGCTTGCTATTTTTGAGACAGGTATGCAACTTACACCTTTTTTATCTTTTGTAAGAGACTGGTATAGATTTGAATGAGAAAGATCTGCATAAATGGAGTCAACCATTGACTGTATGTCTTTTTCTGAAATCATACTTTGCTTCTCATTTCCATGTTTTACAATACATATTGCATGTTTTGAAATTATTGACATGATTTCATTTATCAGTTTCATGACTGTGTTACTTAAGTTTGATTGAGGAGTAGCAGAAGGCCCTGCACTGGTATGTGCTGGACTTATCTGCGATATAAGTTGAGTAACTATTTTTTCTAAATGAATATGTGAGAGCATAGTAGTATATATTGTTGATGCTTGTCTTCGGAATCTTGACTTACTAATATCATAATGGACTCTATTTATCAAAACATTTTGACTAAGTTTGGAATGTAAACTTAAGGGCAGATTTGCTACAAGATCTGGTGGAATTTGGAAGTCAAAAATTTCAGTCAGAATAATTTTGGTTATCCGGCCAGCCAATGCCTTTGTGTCACTTAGAAAATCTTTGTGAGGCATTATTTCCATTTCATATTCTTCTAAAACTTTGCTGTACACAGTGTCAATGATGTTTTTAAGTACATCGCTCCTCACTGGGGAAAAACACAACCGTTCCTCGGCATTCTCGATAGTTGTAACCTGGGCTTTTGAAAATTCCTCTGTTATCCAATATATGAGAGTTTCAGCTTTATCAAACAAAACGTCTTCTGAATTTCTTGTTGACTCCACTTGTACAATGCCAACCACTCTGTGAAATATTTTGCTTACGACTCCAGAGACCACATCTTCCAAAAATGTTGATGAATAAACACTAGCGTAAGTTAACCGCTGTTTGTTGGCAAACCATTTGGACGCTGAAGCGGATGGTTGCCTTCTTTCCAGAAACGGCTGAAGATGCTGTTCACAGACATATTTAATAATCAAACCTGCAATTTTATCGATGAAAACATCATTACTTTTGGTGATGTTTTGTTCCAGTGATTCTTGAGAATCGGAGTTTTCTAAAATATTTGTGGAAACAGAATCAACAAGATGGCGAACATCATCTTCTGAGTAAAAGGAGTCAGCTGCTTCTTCATCTTTCGAAAATCTAATTTCATGTTGGGAAATCTTTGTTCTAATATCGCTGATCAGATTGGAAGCAATTTCATTAAAATTTATTCCTTTATCTTTTGGAGCTGCTATATGTGAAACCATTTTAGGAAAAGGAAAAACTTTAGATAATAGTATGCTGACCATATCGTCTAGAAATGTATATGGTAGCAATGTATTATATGGAGGCAGACTCTGGTTTGACTTACTGGATTTATTGATATTACCAAGAACATTATTAAAAATATTATCAGCCATTGAATTAGAATAAGAAGCAGCTGACAAATCACCAGAAAACAGTGGGTGAAGAAGGTAGTCTGAAATAGCTGCTGTGATTAATTTGGTAATATTTTCCACAAAAGCATCACTATTTTCAGACTCGTCAATGTTAGGATCTAGCCCATGCTGCTTCAGAACATTTCTATATACCGAGGTGACAAGTTCATCTACAATATCTGCATCACTAAATGGAAAGGATGATTGCTTATCGCACAGAATAGGAATCTTAGCTTGGTCTAAATTGTTATTCACCGAGTCTACTATTTTTTGGGTCATATTTTCCAGTTCAACCTTAATATTAGGCTTAGGACTAAAAATCCTTGAGAAAACTCTGGTGACAATTTCCCCTATGAATTTATCAGGGTTAATGCCAAAAGATGATGACGTCTGCAGTTTGTGAGACTCTACAGCTTCATTGAGAACTCGTTTGACCATATAAGATACGTCATCCAGCGGAGTTTTTGGGCGAGGTAAACTCTCTCCACATAAAAATGGTTGAAGATGGTTTTCAATAATCTCTTGGATAATGAAACTAGCTATTTGGTCAATCATAATTGGACTTCGGCTAATTATATTCTTTTGTATTAAATCAAGAGAACCAGACATTTTTAAAATATTACTGTAAACAGAATCTACCATCTTTTGGAGGTTTTTATCTGTGTGGAGACTTTGGTTATCACAGATGGTGAACCAGATTTTGTGTTTTGAAATGGCTAACATAACCTTATTTGTTATACAGTTGGACATTTCCTCAAAATCTGAACTCATTACACATTGTTTTTTTAAAGACGAAGGCTTAATAGGCAGGGGAAGAAGCTGAAGTAATAGTCTTCTGATGACATATTCTAAAAATGAGTGTGGTAACATGGTGCTATAACCTTTTGAAGACACAGGTTCAGAAATAAATTTCCTTAGATTATTTTGAAGTTTATGTAATATGATTCCAGCATTGAGTGTATGATATGAATTTGATTTGAGCTTTCCCTTGAAGCAAGATGGAAGCTGATAGTCTACAATCTCTAATAATATTCTATTAGAAATTTGTTCAGCTACTGAAGGATTATCATAAGGCAGATTATTAACACAGGTTACTTTAAATTCATATTGCTGTAAAACATCATAATAAATAGAATCAACTATCTTAGTAACACATCCTTTATGTGCCGATGGGAAATACAGCCTTTCTTCAGGATACCTTAGAACAGTGATTTGAGCATCATTTAAGTCATTCACTACAGTGCTGATAAGAGATGTATTTATCTCATTGAGCCAGGTTTCTGTGATGTTCATATTTTTCCTCCACAATGAGGTAGACAGCTTAAAAAATAATTCCGAGATTATGTCCTCCAAAAATGTGGCTGAATATACACCACTGTTTACGCCTCTTTGGCATAGCTTATGAAAGTCTACTGTGTTCATTCCCCTTGATTCTTGTCTTCCAGAAAGTTGTAAAAAGAAAGGTTTTACAGCATCTTGTTTGCCACACGGTGTCTGCATTTTAAAGCTAGTTACACTGGGATTATTCAAGGACCTGTTCAAAACATTATTGTCATAGCTCACGAATCCTACATGGGCATTAGTTTGTCCCAATTCCATGAATTCACTACTTTTTGCTTTTGGGGAAAAAGGCTGTATTTCTCCTGTTTTGTAGTTCATGCATTTGTTTTCAAAAGGAGCTTGTTGAAAACCATGTGATAGCTTATCCATCAAAGATTTAACCAAGCTGTGGGATACAACATTAAGTACACGATCTGATGATAATACATCTTGATCCATGTCTGCCAGGTTTTCCAAAACATCTGACATGTAATCTCCTTGAAATTGTTCACAGTCCATTGGTGCCTTACAATAATCAAAATCTCTACCTTGCGCACTTTGAAGTAATTTTACATGTTGGCATTCTTCTGCTAGTTCACGAGAAAGAGAACTATCTTCAAGAAATGCAGTGCCCGTGAATTTTTCTAGAAGTGTTCTAATAAGTTTCTCACACACAATATTGAGAAGAAAAATTGATTTGGGGGAAAGCCCTAGATTGTTTGTATGTATGCTATGACTTTGTTGATTATTTGAGGTAAAACATGTTCTAGCTAGTTTACCAGAACTCATACCCCCATCTGGAAATTCATCTGGTAAAAATAAATCTAAAACAATATTAAAGACGTCATTGACAACTTCTTTGGATTCATGAGATTTTAGACTACCAACCAGATTGTTTAACTTACATGTCAGGTAATTTAATTTATTTCTTTGAGCAAGGTAGTCAGTTAGGTGAGGACATGATTCCCAGTCTCTAGCATCTATCTGACTTTCCATGGTATTGACTTTGCAGAAAAAGGGCACACTATTTCTGAATGTAGAATATGGTTTGTTTCTTACATTATTTTCAAAATAGCGATTTATTCCTAGTCCTTTGGACAATACAAAAATCACTCCTTTTATGAGATCTTGAAAGACATCATCAAAGTCAGAAGAAGTCAAACCTGGACAGAACCTGTACTTGTGTTTCATGGAAGCCTGAAATGCCTTGTCAACACTTAAAATGTTACCATTAGAAAGAATGTCAATAATAACTTCAGAAATACTTAAAGCGAGTTCTCCAATGGAAATGGACCTGCTCTTATAGACTTGAGAATGAATTGAGATATATTTGTTAGATAGTACATCTTGGATTTCCCATGCTTTGTCTTTGATATCCTCTTTGGTGCCATCTGAAATGTTTGAAATCAAGTAGCGGATGACTGAGTCAGAGAGATGTTCACAAAACTGATACATTGAAGAGTTACTATATATGCTTTTTAGAGGCTCTTTTGAGTTATAATTTTTCTTTGGATGTGAAGAAACGCGAGACAAGTTCTCCTCGGTTGAAACTAAAAAATAAATGTAACAAGGAAACATAAGCATGTTTTAGAATGGTTTAGAGGAAATTTAGGACATTCAATGCATTGACAATTTATCTTGCTCCTTATTAAAGTAAAAGGTAAAAGTTAATAAAGAAAGAAATGGGATTTTCCTTAAATATTTCACAATTGTAAAATCTTAGTCTTAGCCAACATATTGAGAAAAACAGGTCTTCCATGTTCAAATTTCTAAGTCATGGGTTGATGTCTGCCTTGACGTCGTAGTTACGACACTAAGAGAACAGATGTTTCAGGTTTGCTGAAACATCCTGCCGTAGCTCTGTGAAATGATTATTTAAAAGTATATCAAATCAAAATCTTTGGTGTTATGCTGCATTTTACTTGTAAATCTAAAGATTTGTGTTACTCTATAATCTTGAAAAAAATACAAGTGTACCAACTCCAGAAAGTGAATGATAGTTTGTAGCTGCAAAGACATGTCTAAGTACTTGGCAAACTTTCCAATTCACAGTGCATGCTCCCCCAAAGTTCCCTACCCTAAATTTCTTTTCATTTTCTCTTTATCTGAAGGCCTAGAGGAGAAAAAAACAAAACAACCCACATCTTTTATATTTAATGTACTAACAGTTAACTTAGTGACATTTTTATACACCACGGAAATTTAAAAGTAACCAAATAGTTATTCTACAGTTCTAAAACTATTTCCAGAAAAACAAAAAGTAGACTCTCAGACAAGAGATCTTTTAAATATACCTTTTACTGTCTTCTCAAAATTAATCTCAACTTAAAAATTAACTTATCTGTTGCTTACCTGCAGCTCTGGCGTTCTTCAGATGTGTTACCACAGACGTCGTGACATGTCTTGCCACCAAATGCATTTCATTTGGACCCAGCTCGTGATCAACAAAATCAATTGTGTCAGTGTCTCCCAAAACCTCCACTGTCATTTTGGGGTTTTTATTTTTCCACTTGTGTAATAAAGAAAGATCCCCTTGGCAGGCTTCAAGACCATCACTGTTTTCATCATCTACACAGGTCGTTCGTTGACCCCACATTTGGAGCAAGTTGTTCTCACGCTTCTGCCCTCCATATACTGCAGACAACGGATTGTGTCCTGACATAAAAAATGGTCTCATGGTCTCCAGGCTTTCTTCGGGGTGTGGTTGCTGAGAAAAGCCGTAGCTCGAGAGCACTGTGTTCACAATATTGTCGGCCGCTACACATATCTTGAGTGGGGAAGCATTCGTCTTAATTTCACTTGGCTCTATTGGTTTTGCAGTCTCATAATGAAAAACCCTTGGGTTTTCCCCTTTCCCCATTTCAATGAATGACATAACTTGTTTCAGTGATTCTTCTGTGGATTCATTTGCTTTCTTAAACCATTTTTGTAACACACTGCCTTCAGGGAGAGAATTGTTACCTTTTGTGACTTCCTCAAAGAGTCCAAAGCTGGATTGCCTTTGATTCTGGTCGTCTTCTTTGTTTCTAGAACATGATGGCCCAGCTTTTGAATTGGGCCTTCCCCTTGACTCTGAGCTTTGAACTTTATTTTCTACACAGGAACTTGTGGGGGAGGGTGAATTAGGTGTCATCCCATCCTTTTCTTTTGTATCATTCCCTGAACTAAACTCCAAGCCAGATACACTCCTTTGTGGAACATGACTCCTCACACTGGTGTTTCTCACCTTTGATGTAGGCATTTTCACGTGAGATGCAAATTCAACCTGGTTAACAATGTAAACATTCTCAGTCCTTTTGAACCAGCTTTTGGATGGAAGGTTTGTGATCAAAGACTCACTGAAATGAGTACATTGGTCTATCAGTGTACCAATGATCTCGCTTGCGGCAATGTTCTCTTTCAATATGCTGAGTGGATATGGCTCCATTTGGCTTATTTCTTTGTCTAGCTTATTCTTGATTATACTAAGCATGTCACAGACAGTTGTGACAGAATACCTAAGCAGTTCCGAATGGAATGAATGGACCTGTAGGAGTGTGCTCTGCACATTTTCCTTGGCTATAGCAGTACTTGGCTTGAATTCATCACTACACTTTCTAAATGGTTGTAACTTTGGCAACATTTTCTTGCTTAATTGTCTCTGTTGCACTTGAAAAAGATTGTCTATAGGCATTTTCACTATTTCCGAAAACTCATATTTAGAGATATGCTTAAATTTCAAGTCCACAAACGACTCTAACATGTTTAACACTCTTTCTACAATCTCTTGCACAATTTGGTGGCTCATAGACACTTGCTCTTTCATCCTCGTGTTGCAGGTCTGCACGCCACTGAGAACATGCTTGGTTGGAGCACCATGCTTACTTTTAGCAGCAACACGCTCCTTCCGACTTGGTAGGATCCCCTTACTGTCTTGAGTAGGTAGCTGAGACAAGAAACACAGCTGTAATTTTTCAAATAGCATTTCAACAATTTCCCGTCCAAACGTATTGATCTGTGCTTCCGTATCCTCAGCTCTAGTAGATCCACCTTTAAAGTGATCATAAAATCTGTTTTCACAATCTTCAAGAGGGGGTAAATTTAAAAGCGAAAGTGAATACTCCAAATCTTTTGCTTTAATTGAAATTTCGGTCAAAATGTTTTCAGCTACGGTTAAAAGTTTAGACTTTTCATTTTCTGTATCACTTATTTCTGTTTGCCATTTGTCAAACAATTTTTTAAAGATACCTTCTTTAGGAAAAATCTGTTCTAGCTGTGAGGAGACATTTTCTAAGTAAAAACATGCCTGGTGCTCAGGTGGGAAACTTGCACCCAGATTTTGCTTTGGCTGATGAAAATCACCTAGATTTGAGACATTATTTGGAGAAGCCAAATTGTGGTTGTTTGTAGCATACAATTCTTGCAACACTTCATTAACAACTTTTCTTGCTTCATGAATTTGATCAGTGGGTAATGCTTTTGTATTTAACATGGCTCTGTTTTGTGCTACTCTTTCAAGTTCTTTCATAATTATTTCTAAAATATCAGTTATTATATTCTTGGCATAAATTCTTAATTCTGAAGCTGGTAGCTTGATTTTCAGTATGGTTTGGGCATCCGCTGTTGGTGGAGTTTGTGGCAGCCCAATGGCGGTTTTGGATCGGTTCTCTCTTGGAGTCTTCTCTCCAGCACCTAATTTGGTCTTGCTTCTGGACTTAGTACTGCAAATGCCTGGAGGCGGTTTTGTTTTAAATTTAGAGAGAGTGGTAATTTTTGACCTTGCTTTTAAACTTGTTTTGCATCCTGGTCTAGGGCTGTTCTTAGGGCTAAGTTTAGGATTATGCAACTGAAGAAGGTACATGTCATCATAACTACCTTCAGGGGGAAATTTCTCTTCTAGATGCAGGGAAACAAAATTTGACAATTTATCAAGAACTATTTGAATTAAGTATCTTCCAACTTGCAATGGTGAATATGGCAAAAAAGCATTTTCTAATAGCAGAACGTTTAAATTATCTGCATAAAGATGCATTTGTGGTACCCCTAATCTAGCGGAATTACTTCTTTTCCTTGCAGGCTTAGTTTCTCTAAAGCATGATGGTTTTGTTGATGAGATGTCATTGTTGTCATGCATTTCCACCTCTCTCCAGCTTTTAGTTTTTTTGTACAATGATGTCACAACTACAGAGTGCATTTCTCCCAAAATATTTTCAAGTATATCATTTGATAGGCTGTTAATATGAGACTGAAAGAATTTCTTCTGTGTTATAGTTGATGTTTTACTTTTAGGTTTAGACACAATGTAGGGCATTTCATTAAATGGTGGCAAGTGGCCTATGATTTCCATTATGTTTTGACTCAACTTCTTCAAAACCTCTTCTACTGCATTAAATATTTCAGTTTTTTCTCTTGGTTTTGATTCTCCTTTCCTCATAAATACTTCTTCCAAAACAGCTCTTTGGAGTTCCTTTTCCATTGTTATTGGGTTTTCTTCTAAGGGGTCATTTGTAAAGAGTGGTAATGTGGTTGTTTTTTCCTTCCCTTTGTATCCCAGTAAGACTTCATTTGATATGGTTAACTGGGAACACCCAGGCTTCTCTGATGAGGATAAAAAGCCACCCCTTAAAGATCCTTTGTTGTGCAAAATTTTTAGGATGCTATCAACAATTTCACTCACAATGGTATTTTTTTGAAATAAAATGCAGTTTGAATCTGTGTGCACATTTTGCATTTCTAAGTCTAAATCATTTTTAATGAGCTTCAAAATAGCACTGGCAATGAAATCAGCGTAGTCCTTAAGGCTAGTTTGGGATAAATGGGTTGCGGTTCCAAAATTTTCTCTACAACTGGCAAAAACGGGTTCTGCAAGCTCTTGACTAGGGTCTGTTTTGGTTGTTGATAATTTTAGGACATTTACATCAGGTTCAAAATGGTCTGATTCATGTAAAAAGCCATCATCTTGTTTACCATTTTCAAATGCTGGGCTAAGAAATACATTTTCTTTATTAGACTGAGAGGTAGGAGTCATTAATGAATTTATTCTTTCTGTGGCAAAAGACTGTAACCGATTAAAAATAGTCTCCGTAATGAAGTTGGCATTTTCCTCACATGGGTCAGGCACAGGTTCCCTAGTGTCTTCTTTTCTCTCTGCATGCACCTGATAAACATTAGCATCAGCTAAATTCTTATGCTTTGAGTGTGAAAAGTACCCTGGTTTTTCTTCATTTCTTTGTGTAACAAAAAGAGGTTGTTGGCACTGTGATTTTGGAGACATATCATAGAAGGCCAGTCTCGAGGAATGAGAATCCTTTGCATTTATGACAAGCATGACCAAGGAACTAAGGTTATGAAGCACAATATCCACCAGATCTTTGGATACCAAGATGACGTCTGTCTTAGGAACTGACACTCTAGGGATAATATTTGTACCCATAACAACTGGTTCATAATTTGCTTCTGAGTGTTTGCTGGGAATACTGGATGGCAGGGTGGGAGTGGCCAATGAGAGATTATTCTGATATATAATGTTTTCATAAATATCACATAAGATCCCTTCAATGGTATCTTGAATTTGAAACTCAAGTATTTTTCGATATTCTGTCTTATTGACTAGCCTCTCAATAACTCCGTCATGCCGCTCTGAACAGTTGTCTCTGTCGGAACTGGTGCTCTCACACTTGCCTCTGCATGACACAATATCAAGCACCTTGTTAACAACCTGACTTGCAATATTCTCAGAAACCACAAGGTTATTTGTTGGGAGAGGACTTTCTTGTTCTTTATCCAACTCGTGTTTGATACCTTGTAAAATTTTCCTAGCCACTTCTTTTGCGTAAATATTTAATTTGGAAAAAGACAGTTGGCACCACGACTCCATCTGTCCTGGGTTGCTGTGACTCTCTGAACAACAGGGAAATTGTTGATCAGAATGAGAATCTTCGCCTGATAATGCCTGGCTTAGCAGTCCCTCTTCCTGCTGTACTGGCAAAGTCGCTGGAACTCTGATGTCAACTTGGGGATGAAAGAGAGATTCTACTTTGGAAGCAGCAAAAGTTTCTAAATTTTCTAATATTGCCTGTACAATATCTTCCACTACATTTATTTTGGTCTGTCTGTCAACATTCCAGCTCGACTGAATATCACACGGATTTCCGTTTAAAACACTGACAGGTCCGTTTCCCGGATAGGCATGCTCACTAAAGGAAACGTTGGTTGAAAAGATGATGGTTTCACAACTGTTTTCACTTCCTTGTTTTTCTGTCGTGGCAGCTGAATAAAGCTTGTGAAATACGGTCCTAACAACATCATTTACCACTACAGTTACGTCCGCATCAGACACTAAAGGGCCCATCAGCGGATCCATAAATTGAGATGCTTGAGTAGTTGATACAGGAAAATTATGAGGCATACCACTAAAGTGAGAGTGTGAGAGGGAAATAGTATTTAATTGATTGATTAAAGCACTTTGAAAAATTTCATTCAAAATATTTCTTATAATAGGAACAATCGGGGATTTGTGTGGTTCTTTGAGTTTGACTTCAATTTTGCTTAAGGTTCTTTCTAGAACCCACTGGTCAGTACAAAAGGTCCCCGTTTCTTCCCTGGGTGATGTTATATCTCTGATGAATTCTCTAGTTTGTGTGTCATCGTCTAGAAATGACTCTGATTCAGCTCCTCCAGGAAGGAAATTTCCATAAACTGGTCGATACCTGTAGTTTTCAATGCCTTTGTTCTCAGATTCAGGTTCAGTAAACATATCTTTAGATACTACATCTAAAATTAAATCAACTATGTTTGTAAGCATTTGTGTCTCCTGTGGTGAGCTTTTTATATTTTCCTTACAATCTGTTGGGTTAATATTTAATTCTGTTTGAATGGCTTTCAGAATAGCACTTGACACCCTCTTCGCATGAGTGTATAAAGTAGACTGCAATGATTCATCATGGGAATCTGTAGGACAAGTTTTGCTTTCAAGTTCCCAACCCATCACATTCTCTTTCTTATCTTCATCTTTGAGACCACCAATATTTTCCATGTTTCCACTGGCAAATATTTTCAATTTAGTAAAAACCATGTTAAGAATATCTAAGGCAACACTCTTCAGTTTATTTGGGCACATTTCTTTTGAGTTCTCAGTTTTTGAAGACCCTGGGATATCATCTTTTGCTTTATTTTTGGTAGTGTCTTTATTACCCATCATCATTTTGGAAATCATGTTGGAGATGATGTTCGTGCATTTGGCCATTTCCTCCATAGTTGAAGCAAATGATAGGTTATCAATGTCAAGGGATTCTGAGACAGTTTTCAATTCAGAATTTACAATGCTGCTATCTATGTCAATATCACATAATTTTGCAAGGACATATTCCAGAATTGCTTTGGAAATGAGATGAACATTAGATAGTATTGGAGGATCCTTAGTTGACTTCTCTGTGCTTTGCTTACTACAAGATGGTTGAGAATCAGGGTGGGCACCTGTGAGTTTGCTTAACATTTCATGCAGTGTTTCTCCAATTTCATCTAACACTTGCAATTTGGGACTCTCTTTCAAATCCTTTCCATTAATGACACTGTGGTGAAGGCAAGGTGTAGCCAAATATCGTCGAAAAGAAGCTTTATCCTGCTTACTTGACAAAATGCTTTGTTTATTAACATTGTCAGACTCACATAACGTTGTAGATACTGCCTTGTCTGTAGAAGTTGAAGTACTTGATTGATCTTCATTTGTACTTGATATCATTTCACAAATACATGCTAGTAATGGACTTTCCATAATGTCATTGACACTTCTGACATGGGAGTCTACTGCTTCATTGGGATCAACAAACAACCCCTTGCTTGTATGACACTTGGTATGGTCTGCCTGCCTAAGATTTGGGATTATCTTGTTGAGTTCTAGTTCATTCTGTATAGCATCTAAAACAATGTTGACTATTTTCATTGTGTAAGTACTAAGTTGAGAATGTAATGATTTCTCTACCAGTAAAGATTTTTTACCTATCTGCAGTTTTGGACAAACAAATAACTTCAGCCTTTTAAAAATTGTATTAATGATCTTATCAGTAATATCATTTACACGCTTTGGTTCACATCCTCCAGATCTTAATTGGGAAGACTTTTCAATCTCTACATTGAGTGAGGATAAATATTTCATTTTCTTTTCACTGTCAAACCATACTTTGAATGGCGTTTTACTTGGTATTTCTTTTGCTGTTTTGGAAGTATCAGAATGATCCGGACAAGTTTGATGAACAGATGAAATGGCATTTTTAATAGTGTTAGGAATGTACGTTGAAGCTTTATGAAGTATATTTATTACAGAATCTGTTATTTCACGTGCAAATGCACAGATTTCTGACCCCGAGAAGTGCTGTTCAATCCGTTCTTGATCTGATAGTCCTTGAGACTTTTCTGAGACAAAAGCAGAGGTTTCTTCATCAATTTTGCTTCCTGGGAGATGAGATGAAACCGAAATGCTCATATCCTTGAGCATTTCTGTTAAAATGTGTTTGACTATGTTTTCTGAAGCCTTTTGTATTTGATATTTTTGATCTTGGCTGAAAATTGAAGGATCATTAGTCAAGCAGTGCTTTGTCCTTACAATGTCTTCACTGTCAAGAGATAACTCCAACTTTAATCCCCAGTCATGAGATCCAACTTTACTTTGACATGTAGGTTTTGTTGGTAGTTTATGACTTCTTTTGGATTCAAAACAAGTATCTCTTTTTGTAGGCCAATGATTAGGAACCTGCTCTTGTGCTTTTATTTTTTCATCAGTGAAGGATGAATCAAGCACACTTTTCACAAGGTTATCTATTTCCTCATCATCATCTTCAGAATAAAGAACCATGCCTGGGACATTAATAGGGGGAAAAGGCCTTTTAGTTCTAAGACCATGAAAGGTCCTTGCGGCAGTGAGTCTATACTTTTCTTCAGCATCAGGAATATTTCTTGCTCTAGGTTGTCTATGTTTTTTAACATCTGCTTTTGCTGGCACCCGGTGAAGCTGAGTTAAGACATCATCCAGTAGCTGCAGAAGTACTACTGTTTCTTCAGATGCAATGAGTCTCTCATTGTTAAGTTCGGTTTGTACATAGCCTAGAATAGTGCTTATTGCTTCTTCTATATAGCCAACTAGAGAAGATTGTGAAAAAATATTTGATATTAAGTTTTGTATTTCTTCTTTCACAATTTGATTAGCTGCACCAGATTCAGAACTAGTCTTCTTTTGGTCAGTTGTTTGATAGAATTTAGGTGGTGGCTCTGTCTTAATTTGTTGATGGAAATGTTTAGTTGTATCTTCAGGGGGAAGTTCACTTTTCTTATAAGATGTAAGAGTCATTAACTTCTCTAAAATGGCATGCACCATGTCATCTGCAACATCACACATTGGCTCCAAGGTGTATGACAGTGTTTCTTCTGAAGACTTTGTATCCAAGGATGAGTAATATTCACCACTAGCTGATAAAGTGGGTTTAGTATCGACTGTCAGATCTTCTTGTGAAATTATCTGCACACACTTCCTCTCAACGGCCGACTCCAGCTTCTCAAGCATGTTTTCCACAATCTCTGAAGCTACCGAGCATATGTCAACATTTGAGAGCATGTCTTCCCTTTCTGAGTCACGTGGGTCCACAAAGACTTCAGCAGTCACAGAGGAAAGAGAAGGAATTGCCTGGGTTAAGTCAGACATGATTTCTTGAAAAATACTTTCTAAAATAAGCTGTGTTTCTCCTTTCAAGTGACATTTAAAGTTGACAAAAACGTTCTTTAAATTTTTCATCTGATCCATCGCCTTTGATTTTTTATCATGCGGAAACGGGATCTCTAAGCTCTCTGTTTCTGTGGTGGCATCTTTGGATTTCTTAGTGCTGGTTTCTAATGATGTTAAAAGGTGACTATCCGATTTGCTGCTTCCTATCTTAGGAAATGGATATTCCAAGCTGGTTTTGTTGTAACTGACTTGTGAGGATATCGATTGTCCTCTCACTTGATATGTTTTGTCAATCACTGTTCTTTCCACGTGTGCAGAAGGGGGTTTCAAAGGTGTGGGTGGTTTCTTCACTGGCGTGTCACCGGCAAATATACATGGCTCTGCTTGAAAAGTTTTAGTCGTGAAACTTCTGTATGTAAAGCCCTCACTGCACGTACTACAGAAACTTGAGCTATCCGAAGAAAGGTCTGAGTCATCAGACACTGGATAAGTATTACTCTGCACTCTTTCTTCGTATTTTGTGATGGCTGGATATAATATACTGGTCACTGTAGCTACAACCCATGTCATTATGTTTTGAATTATGCTGTTTAGTTCTTCAGAAGTTATCTAGAAAAAAGATATTCGGATGAAAGGAGTCATATAAACATTTATTCCATATTTGGGAAATATGGGGGTAGCATCGATTTTCATGTTAAACTATTATGTAATAATAATAATAATATAAGTAGAATTTCAGCACCATTTAAAAGAAAATTAAAGAGAGAATCTACCCATAATTTCAGACTGTTTTAAACTGCTTTACTTCATACCAAAGGGAAATATTTTGAACGTAAAATTTTATTTTATTTATATACCTTAAGAAGCTATAAAAATTATTTCCCAACATTCATAACTTGAGTAAATATCCTTAAATTTAAAGTTATCAAATTGCTATTTAGTCACAACTCATAAAATGTTTTAGAAAAAAACAACATGATATCAGAGCTGTGCTATATATTTTAAAAACAGTTAAGTTTGTTTCAAAGTATTCCTCCAAAGAGATATAGGGAAAGTATTTTGAATTCTTCAGAAGCATTTGTCTAACTTCTGTATCAGGATGAAAAATAAATCTTCTTACTTTCTATTCCATGCTACAACAATAAGTACACAGTCTGTTTCTTTGGAATACAGAATTGGTAGTAAAAATGATCTAGGAAATCAGAAAATAGATGTATAAAAATACAAGACATGATAGAAAGGCTGGCAGGCTGTTCCCATCCAAACTATATCTACGGTCAATATCACAAGAAAAGATAAAATCTTTGTAGCACCCTCTCTGCTGATCCATTTTAGCTCATAGGAAGGGCCTAATGAAAGGCCTCTCAGCTCTCATCCCCAATTCCTTAAGATAGTTTTTCACTACTATTGTAGATGGTGATTAACGTCTTGATAAGCACAGATCAAGACAAGGTTAAGTATAAAAATCTAGGTTACATAAATATACCCTTAATTGAAAGTTCTATTAATAAATCATAAACTTTAAGATAGAAGGTACTTATTCTAAATGAACAATACTGAGCATACACATTAAAATATCCAATGTATTTTTTTTATACAAGATGTAATGAACAACAGAACCATACTGATGTTCTTAAACTAGGTGAAGGATAAAGACATTTCCAATTGTAATATAAAAAAGAAGGCAACATCTAAAGTTTTGCATGTAATAAAATAAGGTTACAGGAATCTTAGTTCTTCCATTTCATTGAATTATATTAAACTGAAGCTTTGCGTGTGCTCTATGGCTTATTGACTGAGCAGGATTCAATGGGAAAAGACCAACTGCTGTGATATTCCTCAAGATCTCTGACTACTCTGACTAGACAGATACATGTTATTAAAATATTCCTTCTTTTCTTTTCCTGCCTCAAGTCTCAGCTCCCAGGTGAGCAAGTACCTTTGCCTGTGACCTTTAGTAGCAGGTTCTTCCTATGAGAATTGCTAGAGTCAGATTCAGGTTTCTCAACTCATTCTCTTCAGAGTTCGCCATAAATATCTGCAAAGCTACACTGATTGATAATATTTCATGAGAGGTGAGATCCTGTTATCTTGCTTCTCCATGCTATACCCAAGAGAATTTCCTAAAGCACCAAGAGTATTTTTGCTAACTTTACATTAAAAGGAAACTATTAAAATTATCTAAAAGTTAACTTCCAATACAAGAAAAAGCAAAGAGTATGGCCAACAAATATGAGCAGATGATTATTGGTATCTGATTTACATTTTTTATGGCATATGGTAATTAGTATACTGTCTTATTAGTGAATTTTATGATACATACTTTATCCTGCAAGCAATTCTGTAGATTTTGCTGCCTGTAAGGTTAAGAAACAGTTATGATTTGTGAACTTAGAACACATGATTTATAAAAATACTTTTAAAGTTCATATTACTTATTGTTTCTTTTTTATGAGGGTTCTACATAAACACAAAATACCCTAAACTTTGATTTGTTTTCTTGAACATTCTCATGTAATGTTTTCCTAAGATATGGGCCGATAGACTCAAAAAATGTGCTTGATTTGCTCAGGAGAATAGAACAACAACATATCACATAAATAACTTGTGTTTGGTAGGAGGAACTCTGATAAACCTTTGATATGTATGTTTTCCAGTTCTCCAGAGAGTAAAACAGGATAAGGAAAGAAGGAACAGATGATCAGTCTATCCTATCTGCTAATAGAGACAATGGAGTAACGAATCTTATGATCATAGCCCTCTAGTAGCCCTTTATCTGCATTTTCAGATCCTAAAGTCCCATTCTCCGTTTGCTACATCTCACAGCAGAACGAGAACGTGTGGATTCCTGTTCACTACCTGTTTGCTAGAATCCTGGGTTTCTGGCTGCATTCAACACCAGCTTCAGTGATCATCATGCAGTGATGTGATAAACACATCCTTTCATGTGCTGTAATTAGATTTACTATCAAATATGAAAGGGTAGGTTTATAAAAATGTGTAAGAACGCAGCAATTACAAATTATGTTGAATAAGTCTAGACATATATTTCTAATCAATCCAAACATGAACTATTTGCCTAAACTCTTTCTAATACTTTCCATAATTATTTTTCTCAAAATCTAAAACAAAATGTGGAAAAAACATCTGTCTAAATATTGCAATTTACGTATGTGGCAACAAAACAAAACAAAATAGTTTTGTTTTCAATAGTTTTAGCTTAGGAATGGTTTGGGGAGCATGGCATTGTAGCTGGATTTTCAACTAGACAGGGACTGAGGTAGAAAGATTGAGTTAGGCTAGGACTAAGGCAGGAGAGCGGAGAAAAAAGAGAGAGAAGAAAACAGGTGAGAAAGATTCTTGAAGAGAGGAAAGAAATAGGAGAGAGGGAGGTGGCAATAGCCCATATAGACTAGAACTTTTCTCAGATTTAGTTTGTAAAATAAACTTCAAGTTCCAAACCTTCCTTCTTTTATTTATTCATTACTTTGGTTGTCTAAACTTAACTTTTAGTTTACTTTTTTTGTCTTAAGTGATAGAATAGAGTCCTATAGTTCTCTGCACTGACAGCATTCCTTGTGTCCAAACAGGGAACAAAGACCTCTGCGAGACATAAAGAAATGACTGAAAAGATGGAATTAAATATTGAGTATATTAAGCTGCCAGTGTAGCTTAGTGAGTGGGACCTGGCATGAATGAGGTGCATCACTAAATCCCTAGCACCCTCCACAGAAGCAATTGTTTTTTTAAAGCAAGCCATAAAATCAAAATAATGGAAAAGTAAAGACATCCAAAAATTCATTCTTTTTATAAAAGAAATGGACACTGACAAAAAACAGTCAGAACCATAATTCTTCAATCCTTATAAAAATGAAACCTTACACTATTTCAAACATATTAATTTCAGAATGATGTGAATATAATATGGAGAATTTTAAACTGGTCTATATTGCTTCCTTAAAATAGTCCATCATAATCAGTCATTAATTCTGTAAATTTTAATGTTTTTCTAACATCTGGCATTATTCTTTAAATACAGCATGCTCTCGATAGATGTTTGATAAATAGATTATAAAGATGTGCCTATGTATACCAAATCTCAAATGAAGACTACTTTTGAATGGTTTCTTGCCTTTAATTTTGTTCATGTATTGGTGACAAAGTAATTAATTATATGCTAATTTGATCATAATAGTAATGTTCTGAACTTTTGAAATTTAACTTAATAAACAATTATACAGATTCTAAGCATAGTCTTTAGGGCAGAGGATATCAAGCTTATTCATCTCATACTTAGTTATTACAGCTCTGCTGACATTTTTTATCTATGTTCTATGTTATAAATTTCATTTCTAATAGTAGTCTTTTGCAATTGCACTTCTTAAAAGAACAAATAAGTAGGAGCTGAAAGGTAGTTGGCATTGTAAAACATGTGGAGTCTCCATGGGAAAGCCTTTCATTATATATAGGTAAATTTATACATGTGATGAATAGAGTCTGACCAGACAGTAAAGGAGGTTAGCATTTCTTTATCACATAAACACAAATAATCATTGTATGCGCATGATGGGCTTCTTTCCTCCTCATTTGACTTGTCTGGGTGAGATTCATTCTTTCTGGCTTTAACACAGTGCTGTGTATTCTGTGAGCACGCACTGAGTCCTACACACTGTGTATTCT